CCCTGAACACTGAGGTTCCCCCAAAATGAATTATATCTCTATTTGAATGAGCCAATCAGAGGAAGTTTGTGATACAAATAGACGCATCGGAGACTGGAGAACAAATGCAACAATGGAGTTTTCCCCCGTCTTTTCCCCCCGCACAACATACTTCCACCGCTTCTGTTTGTTTCTTTGCAACAGCGAACTGTACATGCGATGGCAGTGTGTTGTCATTCGGTCTCCGGGCAGCGTTACTGCTCGGATGTGTGACTCATGAGGGAGTTCGTATCCTGAGTTCACCCCCCTCCGATCAGGCGTTTGTTCTGATGGAGCGCGCCAGATCCCGGGCAACGGCTGGCAAACTGTAGCGCCATGTTGTCTTCAATTAGAAAATACACCGTTGCATTCATTTGGGTACAGTCAAATAAAAAACTTTCCTGCATAACTGGCTCATCTTACGCAGCACATGGCTGAATGCGGCCTGTGAGTGTGCACGTGTGCAAGCGGCGAGCACACTATTTCACGCTTAGGCACATTTTCCCCAGGGCTCCATCCTTTTGCATCCTGTTAGTTTTTTCTAATTGTGGTGTATAAATATTGCACCACTTTGGCCTTATGTTGTGGTACATTTTTCCCAAAGCTTGACAAGGCAAATTCAGGAGTGTTTAGACGGCTCTTTAGCTCGTGTGTTGCTCCTTCAGAAAAAACTGTTTTACTCCTCTGACAAACGGCTCGCTCACCTAAAATATGTGCGCCGCGATCAGTCATGTTCCCTATTTATAGAGGCAATAGTCCTCCAGTGTGTGGATAGTTTGTGTAGTCCAGGATGCCACATACAGTAGCAGTACGCACAGTTGCCTTACGAGTCAAGGGCTCATGTGTGGAGACAGATCAGTCCCGTAACTCTCGCGTCTGTTTGCCAACAACAGAGTTTTGCGTCCCAACCTCCTCTCTGTGTGATCTTGTTTGCTTTGTCATGATATCACTTCCCGTTAAACTTCAGCGTCAAGGCTATTGTTTTTGTTCTATTGAGGAATCTGTTTTATTTTCCTTCCCTAGAGATAGACTTCCCCTCGCAGCACTACCCACAAAAATCAATCACTCACATTATGATCTCCACCGAAAAATGCATATTTGCAAATCCTGCCCAGCTTCCAAGAAAAGGCTCCAACTGTAATCTTATATTCAGTGGAAAACATTGTCATCCAAAACAATATCACGAAGATTAGAGACCGTAATCCAATATTAATGTTGGTATCAAGCGTGATTGAAATGTCAAATCATACGGTTTATATCCATCAAGTGGAACAGTAGGAATGAAGTGGAAAAACTTGCTGTTTGTCTTCTGAAAAATATGAAAGCGCCAAAAACATTCATTCAATGAATCACTCCTTTCGTTCTTTTGGCACATTGCAAAAGCAAGAGTTAAAAAAAAGTTGGGAACGGTAACGGTTGGATTTGGACCGGCCAAGATCCAGACATTTGATCTGCGGCATAATGAAGTATTAGCTTCCATTACAGTGCAGGCTTAACCTTTTCGCGGAGCACCATTGAGCGCTGGCCAGCAGTCATCAATATTTAACAGCTGTTGCTATTATGAAATTCTTTATGGGCTAATGTGGCTCGCCGGCTTGCACGCAAGGCCTTGGCCGGCCGCCAGCCCCCTGTCGGGAGGAGGGAGGGGGAGATTGACAGACGGCTCGCTTGCGTGACAACCAGCCCTTGATCGGCCAACTCCTCTCTCTCCCTCTCTCACAGTGTGTGTGTGTGTGTGTGTGTGTGTGTGTGTGTGTGTGTGTGTGTGTGTGTGTGTGTGTGTGCGTGTGTGTATGTGTGTGTGTGTGTGTGTGTGTGTGCTGCTGCTCTCTCTGCTGTGGATTTCCTGTGCCTGCGGACAGAAAGAGAGAGAGAGAGAGACAGAGAAGAAGAGCGCTGAGGGAAGGGGGCGGGAGTAGGCAAAGGAAGTGGCTGTAAGCCAAGCCGACCTCAGCGCACACACATATAAACACACACAGTTCTCTCCTCACGCGAGCCCAGTGGAAGGGGAGGGACTGCTGTGCAGCGCAGCGTTTGCATGTTCAGGTCCGCGGCTCTTCTTCACCAGGCAAAAACACAGCAGAGGATCGCTGCCAAGAGATGGCACCCATGCTGCTTCAAATAGCCTGCATATGTACAGGACCAGTCAAAGGGACGGACACATTTTCTCACACTTGACTGTGCTTTGTGCAAAAGTTCAGATAACATGATTTTCTTGCCAGTAGGAGGGAAATCAGATCAGAAGTTATATATAATATATCTATATATGAGACTTATATATACATAAGTAACTGTAGCAGTCAAAGAAATCTTCAGGACAGTACTAAATTTACTCACTTACCTCCCTCAACTGCTCATTACATATTAATTCAACTGCAATTAAACTGAGTTAATGGCGGTGGTTAAAAACAGCCCAAAAGCAGGAGTAACCACCTGTTGGACTGGTGTTGGAGCAGCGTGCATACAGGGCTGTATGTCCCGGGTTACAACCGTGCACAGCAGCTGGTGTTGTGTCTATGAGCAGCCATGTATGAACACTTACCTGCTCCTCGCTGCAAATGGCTCAAGATGGGAGCGTGAGCAGAAGAATGGAGCCGGGGTATCAGCCACCATTCAGTTCAAAAGGCACGCGGCCCTTTGCCTACTTACGGTTTCTAAAGCGTTTTGAATCATGCAACCCTCTTCAACATAATGTCTTGCCACGGCATCTTAGATTTTAATGCACAGGGCTGCATTGAAATATTCATATCTGCATTTTTCATAATTTTGCAAGACATTCCACTATGTTTCATCTCCATTATGCCCAGAAAAAAGCATGTCAGAGATACCGTGTGTCCATAGAGACCATCTCCCCCCCCAGGCACCTTTCCCCCTCCTTGCAAAGCTCTCTCTCCTCATAGAAGTTTCTTATTTATCTCCTCTGGTCCTCTGTATTTATACATTTGTCCCACTGTCACTGCTAGAGCGGGAGGTAGTGGCTTTGAATGGAACAGCGTTGAATGCAGGAAAAACAATCAGACACATGCACATGTCCCACAGACAGGCTCACCTCGCCCCCTAGAGGGTGCAGCAACGCAGAGGGTCAGTCCTCACTTACACACACTTGCGTGTTCTGATGTGCTCTGACACCAAGCCGCAGTGAGAGATCTGTTCTTCACCCAGAGGTGATCATTTTTGGCAGCCAGCAACCTGAAGCAGTCACATCTAAATTGAATCACATTTTACAAGCATTTTTTTCTCAATTCTGGCATCTCTTTACATCACAGTCCCCTCATATGTAATATCGGATAATATCATCTTTTCATTTCAATAAATCAACAAAGGTGTCGCCAGAGCCAGTAGAGGTCCTGAGACAATTCTGCCTTGAATTGTGCAAAGTGAGTCACCGTAGCTTGATATCTGGCGAGTGGTCTCAACGTTTTGTGTACTCAATGGAAGTGGAAAAACCAGGCCGACTAAAAGAGCGACACACTTTCAGCCTCACCCCTTGGCAGCATCGACATCCCGGCTACTTGTCACTTTTTTGCTTGACACCCCGTCCTCACACACGGCACATACGCCTCGCCATTACCCGTTCTGTTTTTCTTTATAGAGCGAGGAGAAAATAGAGGCAAAGAAAAGCAAACTGAAATACGCGAGCGGTGATGAATAAAGCCGTTATTGTCGACAGAGGAAGTGCCTGTGCTGTTAATTAATCATCCTGTGTGTTTGTCTTTCCTGACGCTGCATCCTCTCCAAGTGCTGCCGTAAGAGAGAAAACAAAAATACATGAGGCGTTGAAGGAGGAAAATAAAGAGGCTTATTAGATCCATTTCCCTCTGCTAGTTTCCACTGGTTGGATGATATTGCGGTGATGGAGGAGAATGCTGCGTGTGTGTGTGTGTGTGTGTGTGTGGGGGGGGGGGCTGTCTAAATTCTGTTATATTTGTGTGTGTGTTCGCACCAAGCGGAGGTGATGACAAAGTAATTAACATTACTACTTGCATTTATTACTGTCAATGCAGTTATTAGCGTTTAACCCGATTTCATTATAGGAAGGGAAAAAGAAAATAAACAGCCCTGCGTGCTTCAGAGTGGAATCAAAAGAGGGGAAATCGGTTGGCGATCGCCTGTGATGCCAAGTTGAACAAAGAAAGGGTGGAGAGACCAGCGGGAGGAGGAGGGTTCATGGGGAGAGGGATGGACAGAGGACAGGATATGGTAGAAGGTTAAAGGAGGAGGAGGAAAGCCATAATGGGGCTAATCGATAGGGGTGGGGACTAAAAGAAGCATCGGAACGTTCATACATACACAGATAGTTTTTTGTGATGAGGCTATGGTGTGTGTGTGTGTGTGTGTGTGTTGCGTGACTAATCTGTGCCCGCTACAATGAGTGACGGAGCAAAGGGCTGATCTCTTGGAGTGAGCCACATGCCCACTGACAGCACGGCCATAAGAGAAACACGCAAACATGCCTCCAACACGCCATGCCCACGTCACCGATGCACATGTGACATTTCTGCACGCCACGGTCGTGTAGGCTAATTGCATGTATACACACTTGGTAGTAGTTACTCCACAGCGGAGCGATCGCAGCGTTTGCAAAGCGGTCAAACGAGGGAGACTCAGTTGTGATATTTTTCCAACTTAAGTAGATGTTTTTACTACTTTTAATATCAAATAGCACAAAAGGAGTTTTCTAGAGATAGGACCCTATAAGTCTATTTAGAAATACGCCAGATGTTCCAAAAGCACTAAATGCTGCGCTCTACCTCAAGCTGTGTGTACCAGTGAGCCAATGCGTGCGGCTGTATCGTGTGAGGAGAATCCTGTAAAGTCATGAAATCCTCCAGTGTTTAGCCTCGTTAGAGACACTGATACTGTTAATGGAGAACTTTAAGAAGCTTGATCACTATTGATATATTTTTTTAATCCTGTTGTGAGTTGTTATGTAAATAGGCCCAAGCTCCAGCCCATTGACCCTTGTCTTTTCTTTTTCACAGCAAACCATGAGAAGCCCTCCAGAAAGCACAGTACCAGCACAGCATCCTCAAACCCTGAAGCCAGGAAAGACAGCCCTCCTCTGGAGACCCCGGTCAATGAAAGCAGCCTCCTGCTGGAAGTAAGAACCCACATGGCTGTTGTCTGTGTGTGTGGAATAGCTCTGTGAACACAAAGAATGGTGTGTGCACTGAAGGGTATTTTAATAATATCACTTCTCACCGTGCTGCTTTCAAACCGTTGCCTTTTAGGTTGCACCCGCGCTGAGATACTGGCTAGCTCGCATTCACACCGCTCAGGAGAGCATTTGTGTCTGGGTGTGAATGAGTGACGGTTAGGGAGGAGGGAGGTGAGAGGGAGGGTGGTCTTTCTTTTGTGTGTGGATGCGTGTGTGCCCTTCGCCCTTCGCCCCGACCTCCTTTGCAGAGCTGTGGTGTTGCGTGACATACGGGTGCAGCGGTAGTGTCAGAGCTGATAAAGGAGGTGGGGACTCACACATGCTGGCGGCTTTAGCAGCCATTCAAGTGTGTGTGTGTGAGTGGATCTCTGTCTGGATGCATGTAGTCGTCTGTGAAAGTGAGCAGAAGAGAGTGAGAAGAAGAACACACCCAGCCTGTCAACATTAATCAGAGCCAACAGGAGCTTCAGACCTAAGTTGGACTCGGATACGTGCATATATCTCAGGGTTTGACACGCCATGTGTGTGGGGAGTTGATCAGCACATGATACACGTTTTGCACATATTTTCCGTAAAACATATTTCTTCAGAGGTTCTGTTGAAGGCTTCAGAGCAGACAGGATGTCATAAGCAGACGCACAGAGCGGCACGCTACTTCAGCATCAGATCATTGCTACGCACTCAATACCTTAATGACTATCTGTGAAACGAGCAACTAAGTGTGCACGCGCACGGGGGCCAGCTGATCCACTGATGCTTCTGTTAACGCGTTGGGTTGTCTCAATAGAGCGGTAAACAAAAGGATAGATTGACCGTAGCGATGTGCCGCCTCCTGTTGCGTGACAAACCTGCGCCGGGGCCTCACAGCAATCAGGGCATTAGTTGTTACGGGGAAGGGATCCCGAGAGAGGATCAGCTGCGGATATGGTGGTGTGTGTGTGTGTGTGTGTGTGTGTGTGTGTGTGTGTGTGTTGGTCAGTGGGATTACATGTCTTTGTGTGTGTGAGAATGTGTGCATTGGTATATTTGAGAGGTACATTTTAAAGCTTGCGCATGTTTATTTGTTTTCATTTGGAAGGATTTGAATGAAAACACATACTATATATTGTATGTCGTATTTAATATATTGTATTTAGAATGTTGTATTTTACTGTTTGTATAACAAGAGAAAAAATACTTGCAATCCATCCAATAGTTGATGTTAAGAGATATTTAAATCAGAACATATCGGAAAATACCGGCATGGTGGGGCTAGAGGAAAAGGGAAACACCAGATGGAGGGATCATCCTCTGGGGACCATGCATATTGTGAAATCTACCTTCATAAGAGCTCTGTAATGTACTTCTTGTGTGTGGCTGCGGTCTCGCTCATTGTTTGATGTCCAACAATCATTCACATCAATCAATATTCCAGAATCCCATATTATGCTGACCTTACTGTATGTATTGTATGTATTATGTAAGTATGTATTTGACCGACGTGGCTTCCCGATGGCCTAAATGACCAAAGGAACTATGTCAAAACCCCACCACCATCTCCTCCACCTACCCCCGTCCTCTCCCAGGCCTACAAACGCTGTGAATAATATGTTATTTTGAGCTCTGCATGCTAAGCGTCTCGCAAGATTTGTAAGTCAAAGCTTTTAGTGTCCCCGGGGCGGCTACAGTAGCCAGGGGCGTCGTAGTCGCAGGTATGTGGCGGAGCAGGTGCCAGTTTCCATAAGCTAAAGACTTAAGTATGCGGACAAGTGAGGTAAATGTGAATGGCGAGAGCGTTCACAAGCAGCACAGTGCAGCTAATACGAGTATAGTGTTTCTTTCTCTTTACACAAGATGTATAAAGGCCTCTTTTCATCTTCAGCTTGGTTGTTTTTCTCTCCCTACATCTCTGCCCATTGTTTTTTTTGGTTTTTTTCTTTACAGTGGATGTGGGTTAGGATTGGTGATGAAGCCGCGCTGCCCCTCACCCTCCAGTTTGGGAACCACTGTCCTACCACATATTTAACTCATTTCTTATAGCCAAACATGGTTCACACACCCTTCAATTTGCATACACGTCCCAAAACTCATGACCAACACACCAGCGCAGACAGACTCCCTTTGCACAAAAAGCCTTCAGTGGGGAAAAATGCTTAGGACGGACATCGAAGTGGAGATCCTGTTTCCAGTATTGAATGACTCACAAGATCTACAATATGTTCAATTTCTGATACAGAAATCATTCAAATATCTGACATCACACATGCTTTTCTGCTTGAATTCCTAACTGTCTCTATCTGAGCCCCCGCCCCCCCCCCCACCCGCCCTCCCCTCCTCCCCTGGATGTTATGAATGTGTGCCAGTTCAACATGTCAAACAACATCAGCATCTACACCACCAGAGACCCTGAGTCATCCACCCATCTGTGTGTCCCTCCCTCCGCCCTGCATGTGTGTTTTCCACATATTGTCATATCGTATCCCAGATATTTTGCTGTCGCTGCGTTGCTTTGTCACAGTTCCAGTGGAACACCTTGTGGACAGATTGCTCTATTCGCAGACGGATGTGTATCGCAGGCTATCGTGCAGGCGGGATGGCGCCTGCGCAGGGAGCCGAGCATTACTTTTCTAGCGAAGGCAATCAGATCAATGTTGGGAGACAGTGAGGGAGTGAGTGTGAATTCAGAGGCCGCAGGGAGAGAACACACACACACAAGGGGAAGACCTGCATAATCTCGCAGTAAAATAGAAATGACAGACTCTGGCAGCGGCAGTCACGCAAGTCAAGAGGCCTTGCAGTTGTCACGCTATCACAGCTGTGCACAGCACACGCCCACACTAGAAGACCCGTCCACATCTCATTGTTTTCCTTTTTTTCTCTCCACCTCTCCTCCCCTCCTTGTTTCACTGAAGTCAGTTATGTATTTATTGAGATTTTCCTTTTTAATCAACCCTGGCAATGAACACACATGTTTTCTGTTGTGTGTTTTTGTGTGTGTGTGTGTGTGTGTGTGTAGAGGAGTGCATGGTCTAGGCTGTGTTTGTATCCGTCTTTTCTCTTACTCAAGGTGTTTGGTACCACAAATCAGTATGTTAGCAGTTTAATGGACTTAATTGCTAAGTTTCTGATAAAATCACTAAATGTAATGGAGAATTGGTTTGTATATCATCCTGCTTTTAGGGGAAAAATGGTATATATATTAGAAATATTTTGCATTGCAAATCTGAGAGTTTTATTTGTCCCACTCGCTTCCACAGCCATCTGTCTTTCATTCTCGCTCCAGTGTCAGCATTATATCTTTTGTTCCATTTTTACAGTAAGTTGCTGTTCTGATAATTATGGAAAGAATGATATAAATGTGCTGTAAAAAGTCTGGCATGAGTCAAATACTGGCTCAGCTTTCCTCCAGAAAAATAAATGTACAGTAATGGCTGCGACCACACTTGGGTCGTAAATAAGAACGATTTGCCGGGTTGCATTGTGCTTCTGCTGAGTGCAAACATGCCGTCCAACACCAGCTTCGGCACCGATTAAATCCAGTGTGTCAATCATGTATTTGTTGTATTTGAATATATTTGCTTTGCATGAGTTGCCCTGAGTCACCGCTTATTCCTGTCTGTGTGTGTGTGTGTGTGTGTGTGTGTGTGTGTGTAGTCTCTTACAGGCTTTGCCTTGGTGGTGAGCAGTGATGGGATGGTGTTTTATGCCTCTTCAACCATTGTGGACTACCTGGGATTTCATCAGGTGAGCTGAACGTCTCAAATGTATGTTTCATGTAGAAAGCTGGATGAAACATGTATGAACTGACAGCCTAGTAGGTGGCGTCATCGTGCATCGTTAGTTCCTCACTCCGTACTGAGCCGCATCACTACTGTGAGCTCAACATGTTTTTGTGTTTTATATGCACCTGCCTGAGGCTGAGGAAACCTGAATCCATGCAACAATTTTAGGAATTTAGGCCCCGTGACAGCAAACAGCCAGCTTGAAAAAGGCCAAAACAATGTCAATGTTCAGCAATTTCTTGTTGTGATCTTGTTGTCTAATGAATACACAGTTTTAGGTAATGCTGGTTGAATAATTGGAATTAATATATTATTTCTGGACATCTGTTGTTTGGACAGTAACTTACTGCTCCTCTAAAAGAGATATTCCGAAGGGTACATTACCATGAAACTGCTGTTTTTGTACACATGATGCACTACATGTTAATTAGTGAGCTTTAGAGGTGCAGATTCTTCAATGGCTTGGATCCATTATATTACAATAAAAAAATACAGCCGGTGTCATCATTTACATACATTGGAGAAGGGCAACACCTATTTATGTAAACATTTTACAAGAATACCCACACCTGGAAAACCTTGCAGGTCGCACTTCTCAAAGTCAGCCAGTGTCAGAGATCCAACATTCAGAAAGTTCACCATTTTCCCTTCCATCCATCCCTTTCTACTTTCTACTACTCGTTTTCGTGTTACGGCTATTAGAGCAAGAGGAGAGGGGCAGACTGAACCCACTAAGTCCCCTCAGAGGCCACAGGGAGGTGAAGACCTCGATTTCACCCTGAGATACGCACACTGGGGTCGGTATGTGTGTGGGCACTGATAAGTCACCTACGGTTTAGCTTCCTTTCTCTCCGGCGGCTTTACCCAGCCAGTCATTAATTATGGATGATATCAACACAGGCCTGCCTATCCTGCGATGCTAAAACCATCTCCATCCTTCAAAACCACGAATAAAGTGCTTTTCACTGTTAAAATACCTCTTTGCCCTCATGTGAGTTCTCTCTCCCACACACACACACACACACACACACACACATTGACACACTGGTGTGGAAATTATTCTGCTACAGTGCTCCCACTTGGCTTACAAGCACACCGGGGCAGTAACCCAGCGCCATGAAATCGACATGTGAACCACAGCGGTCCGAAAGATCCTGCCACAGCGTGTGTCTGCGCACATGAGTGTAATAGTGTGTGCAGGGTGGCACGGGAGCAAGCAGAGAAAGTCAAACTGTAAAGGGCAGAAGATGTGTGTGTGTGCGTGCATGTGTAAAAGGGAAAACTGTTCAATATACCATGCCAATCCACGAATCAATCCACCTTTTATTATGCAGAACAAGACTCAAAAGCAGTGATGGTCGATTGGCAGAATGAACGGAACTGGTTCATTCTGCCAATCGACCATCACTGCTTTTAAGTTGACAAATGCAAAAGTGTACTCAACGTGCTCAATGGAAAGAGCCAAGTAGTTTGTGTGATATGGCGGCGTTTGATGAGAGGCAGACGATCACTGTTTATTGCACATCAAATGATGTAGTTCTCTGAAACTTAAATTAATAACTATGGGCCAAAATACAGGTGACTTTAGATGCAAACCGGTTTTATATGAGAGCCCTATGAATAAATGCATCGTTGACCGTCTGCCTTTGGTAGGCTACATAAAAGTATTACTCACAGATCACCATGTTATATTTCAGAGAATGTCCTCAAAACATCTCTTAGGCTTTCCCGCATTTCTCGTAAACGAGGTACTGGTTGTTTTTAAGTCACATAGTTGGCTTCCAAGGCCTTGACAACATGTCATGTAATTGTGAGGCCACAATTGTAGTCAGAAGGACACTTATCCCTAATATACCACAGGAAAAAAAAGAAAAGAGAACGCTTCACTAAGAAGCACCACAAGAAAGCCCCAGAGAAGAGCAGAAAGCCTCCACTGGTCTTTGATCCCATTTGTTCCCCTTTGAAGGTCAGCGAAAATATCACTGGTTCGCTTTTTCTCCCCTTTTCTCTTTTTCCTCCCTGCGTCTTTTTTACGAGAAACATAAACAATAGTCACTCGATCCGCCTGTCTGCCTGACTGCCGGTGAGGAACCAAACCACAGGACGAAGAGCCCGCCGAAGACGGTGGGAACAGAGGCAGGCGATCAAAAACCCTCGCGTGCCACCAGTGTGGAAATTACAGAGCGAGTGCAGGGAGGAGGGAAGAGGAGAAGGTTGAGCGTTTTAGTGAGGAATCTGTCATGGATTGACAGAAAGCAAAGCTATTGCTGGAAAAAAAAGAGAGAGGCATGACGGGAGTGGGCTGGAACCCGACTCACTATGTGTGTGTGTGTGTGTGTGTGTGTGTGTGTGTGTGTGTGTGTGTGGATGGGGAAGGGCAAGTTGGGCTGGACTGCAGTTCAGTGTCACGCGATGTTTGACAAACACAGCTGCCCTCAGTGGCCCTTACAGTACTAAGTAAATGCTCCTGTGTGTATGTGTGCAGTCATATATCTATCGATCTAGTGTGCATGTACTGTGTGTTTGTGTAGCCTTTGTGTGTACACTATGGTCCCTATGAGGGACGTTAAGCTCCCTGAGGCAGGCTGAGTGTATCAGGGCAGAAATAGGAGGAATCCCCCATCAAAACAGCGGCTGCAGCGCAGCATAGTCTGATCTCGTGTTTCAAGAGATGACACAAGAAGACGAAGGTCCTAAAACAGGAAATGGCCTTTCATGAACAAACTTACTAATTAATTAGTTAATTCATTTTCCCCGGCAGACCGACGTGATGCACCAGAACGTGTTTGACTACATCCACATAGACGACCGCCAGGAGTTCCGACGCCAGCTCCACTGGGCCATGTGTCCTCCGCCGGGGACGTCGGCAGACCCGGACAACCAGACAGCTGCAGGGACCGGTGGGTAGCTGACGCCGTCCCTTGGGAAAACTGTTTGGTTGAAATTGTGGATGTTTTTAGCTTGAATTGAATTCTTCTCCTTCACCATCTCCATCTTTCTCTATTATCTTTCAGGTGAGGACTTTGTAGTGAGCAGCCTGTTCCATTCTCCGGACGCAGGGGGGATTTCTCCTGAGCTCACCTGCTTTCTCAACAGGTGTTTTATTGCCAGAGTCCGATGCCTCTTGGACAGCACCTCCGGTTTCTTGGTGAGTGGTCGAAATCAACCTGCCATCTAAACTGAGCAGTAACATTAAATCACGGATATAAATCAAATGTTGCTGACTTTCTGGGAGAAGACCCAGGCCTATAAAAAAAGATTATGACCCCCTTTGGTCCAGCAAAAATGATTTATTATAATTTTGGCGCATGTAGTTATTTATAGTTTTAGTACAAGGTAATTGGGTGCCTGGACACAGCAGCATAACAGGAGCCTGGTTCATCCCTCATGGCTGTGACTAGAGTTGGAGAACAGCAGTGGAAGAGTTCAACGCCATGATGACAGGCCAATAAGCCTATCGGTTTGGACCATTTCACCAGTTTACTGTCATCAGGTCGGCTGTGGTTGCACCGGCATTGGCTGCACCAAAATTGTAGAATGCAGTTTAATTCTGGGAGCTCTTATAGCTAAGAAGTGAGAAAATACTGGAGACCAGACAAATATTGATTATATTGTGCATCCGTGGACAGGTGCGAAAAGATAACACAAGGCGTTTCGAAGCGCATCATATGTTCAAACCATTAAATGGTTCTTCTCTTCTCTCCCAGACTGTGCAGTTCCAGGGCCGGTTGAAGTTCCTCCACGGTCAGAAAAGGAAGTCAGGCTCCGGGGCGGTGATGCCTCCCCAGCTGGCTTTATTCTGCATAGGTGTACCCCTCTTACTGCCCTCCCTCACTGAGATGAAAATGAAGAGCATATTGATGCGGGGAAAGAACAAGGGAGGTGGAGGGATGATCTCTGCCCTGGAGCATGGGTGAGAGAACCCGTACGGTCCATGAGTGTCATCCCTGTAACTTCAACCTTTAAATACTGTAATTAAAGGTCAAGCTTTTTAACACAAACTTGATGTCTCAGAAAGACCTTTGATCCTTTAATGCATTTTGGCAGCTTGTTATCTCCACTAGAGAGTACACGAATATGCCTGATGGGGGAGCTAGAAATAATTAAAAAAGTCAAAATTATAAACCTTGAGAGGTCAAACTTCCCTCATAATTCATAAGGGCCAACGTGTTTACTATTTAATATTTACAAATTCTACTCAGTGACTGCCTCGTGGAAGATATTTAAGGCATCAAATTATGGAAAAACAGGCATTTGTTTGTGTGTAATACACATTTACATTGTGTTATACAAAAAACATTTTAAATATACCAGCATATTGCCCGGCAACAACTTTATGAGCACAGACAAGAGCCCTGTGGCCAATTAGGAGCAAATACATGTCTGCTCTTCATGCATCATTACCAACTTTGGGCGTCAGAGAGGAGCCCTACCACCCCCTCTGCTGTTCATTCCTTCTGAGCATAATACAGGTTCCTTGAGAGAAATACGATTATTTATAAGTGGACAGCAAGTTGGCTGGTTGGATGGCGAGGCCGTGAAGCTCGTAGGGTTATCAGCAGGTTAGCAAATCTGAAAAGCATCTTCTCTTAAAATGCAATGAGAACTACATAAATACTTCTCCAGTCTTCCTTCATCTTTTCTTATCTTATCATTATAGTGTTAGGTTGTCCATCGGGCCCTTTTCACAGCCGCCATTCGGACACGTAATTGCAAGGTAAACACAGGTGTTTTGAATTGACGATGGCCCGGCTCCATTTTGGTGGGCCAGGGTCTTGGTTGTGTGAATGCTGGCTCAGTGGAACGGCTGTAACATAATAAATAGCATGAGGGCCTAATTACTTTGATCATTTACACCTGTGTTTACCCTGCTGCAGCGCGGCAGAAGAAAAGGCTGCCGTGAAAATAGGAGAAATGAAAGAAAAGAGCAGCAAAAGACTGTTAAGAGTGGGAATTAAAGTTTGAAATGGCTTTTTTCTCATAACATGATAGAGTATTTCAGTTATGTAAGTGATCAAATTTCAGTAAAATGTTGGGAGACAAATGACAATTTTAAAAGATTCCACAATAACCCACAGCCGACACCACAGAGGGATTTATCACCTTTAAGCTAATCAAACCTTAAACTACAAGTTTTGTAGTAATGACATTAATAATGTGTTTTATTCACCTCACATTCAGTTTTAAGACCAAATTGAGATCTACTGCATTGCCCTGCATTGCAGGCCATCATTGAAGTTTGTGTTACGGAATGTTGATTCTGTTCTCAATTTTCCAATGAGATGAATCCTGGAAAAGATGAGTCACTATTGAAATTACCCAAACCAAGGGTAGATATTTGGGCTTTGAGTCACATCATTGAGCGTGATAAACAATCGGTTTTTGGATGTTCCCATATGGATTACAGGGGGAATCAATGATTATTGCTTTATGACTAATGATCTCCTTCTTCCATCCCTCTACCCTCCCCAACCCTCTTTTCCTCTCCCTCGCAGTGAGCGGGGGGAACACCTCAGGAGGCATTCCTTCGGTGGAGGAATGGGCGACATAGCCGACCCCGTCCTCCTCTCCTGTCCCACTCCTGGCGCGACCCAGCGGGGTCACCCCAGCCCCTGGACACCGCTCTCTAAAGACAGCCTCAAGTACCGCCCCGAGGGTTTCTACAACCAGGACGAACCCCTCAACTACTGCAAGTCCACCATGGCTTCCCTTAAAGGCATTAACCCGGGCGTGGGCTCCGGTTGGCCTATGCGCCCGAACTCCGGCCCCCTCAGGGCGGGCCAGGGTATTGGCTACATCCCCTCTAACCGCATGAACAAGGCCGGCCACTATGGGAAGCCATACCGCCTCTCCCCGAGCTGCCACGGCGGCAGAGGCGGCGAGGTGTTTGTCTCTAAGGTCTACGGGAACGTGCAGATTCCCGCAGACCCCGATGCCTACTGCGTGGACCTGGTAAAGAACGAGAACGGCTACGGCGAATGCTACGATGGCCACCTGATGCCCGAGATGCAGCCCATCAAGGTGGAGCACGACTCGGACTCTGAGAACGGCTGCGATGCGTTCGGGCGACCCTGGGCGTGCCGCGACCCAGAGGCCATGGACCGCCGCTACGGCAACGGGGTGTACGACCACACGTCAGGCCTCCATCTTAAGTCGGAGGCGGATTATTACGATCCGCAGTTCTCGCCCTGCCATCGGGGGAAAGCAGGAATCAGCCCGCCGTACAACAACGGACACTATCAGAACTATGCAGGCAACCACGGCGGCAACGCAGCCGGACGTCCTTTAAAATGTGACAAAGACTTGGGCAATCACAACAACAACAACAACAATAACAGCCACTTTAGTCCTCAGAGACTCTCTCACTCAGACTCCCTATGCGGCAACCAATCCGTCAACCTCATGGACTCACACGTCTATCCACAGGACCCTCACAAGGCCTACATGCATGGCACTTATGAGTTCAAAGGTCACGGCCTGGTCCATTCAATCAAGCGGGAGCCCATGGATTCCCCGCCGTGGTCTGAGAACGTAGGCCAGTCCATGATGGTTGGGCCGAGGAACATTATGCCATGCGTTATGAGCACGGGGCACCACAAGTCCAGTCCCTACATTTATATGCCATAGGAGTGACCAGTTTGAACACAGCAGATCATCACACACACACACGCAAACAATCGGTATCCAATAAAGTACTTCATATTGCACCAAATGCACCAGCATTACAAAAGGATTCCCAGGATGTTAACATTCAAACGCCTTCTCCGGTGGTGACAAAGAAGTCACAAACAAGGCTCAGGTTCTAGTGTTCATGTGTTGACAATCAGAAGTAATACCTTGAATCCAGGTTATGGATGGATGTTTTTGTTTTGTTTGTGTGGGACGCAGTCGATAGTCGGTTCCTAGCACTTTTGAATTTAGTGACAGTGATACATCTAGAGACATATTTTTATTTTTGTTTGTGTGTGTTGTGTACACTTTTGTGGGAGGAACACAGATTTTGCTGTAAAAAGAGACTTTTTTTTTAAAAGTGTACACAGGAGATGTTGGGCTTATTCAGGAAGATGGCACGTAGTCAGAGATAACAACTTAAAGGACGACGTACGGTGGTTTTGTATGTTGCATGTGCTCCTTGGCCCTAAGATGAAAGACAAACGTGAATTGTCCTTTTAAGTTGCAGGTGATCTTGGACCTAAAGAAGAAGCTTTGCACCGCTTCAATGTCTAAATTAACAATGAGTTGAAGGTTTGTCTCTGACGTGGAAGTGTTTGAAAGAAAAAAAGACAGTCCTTTGTTAATAGGTTTGATGATGATTATTCTTCCTGTTCGCACAATCATTTTTGTCATATTAGGTCATGAAATCTGTCGAGCATACAGATGAATTACTTAATGTAATTTTATGTCAAAGCTAATGTTGTACAGTTTGGATTAGTGTTTATGGCGAGCTCAGCCTTTTTATACTAGATACAACCTGTCTCACTGCAGATACGAGACATTTTCTTTGAAATGAATATACACTCATGTCGTCGACTGAGTCCGAAAACCTTTTTTCTCACAATCAATGTTTTTGCACAAAATTAATTAAAAAGCACCAAAATTGATTCGATGTTAGAGTCTCAGTTCTGTGGAGCTACTGTTGTAGTTTCAAAATTGCACTACTGGGAGTAGCTCAGTTGAAGTTCAACCTACCCAGACAGGTTTTGAGTCAACACGCACAATTTTACACAATGTCACTGTTTTGACTTTGTCTTTTTCTCTTTGTGTGTGTTTATTTCAATAAATGTTTGATGATTCATATTTATTGTAAGAGGCAAAAGTGTATAATTTAAAAACTATAGTCATGAAGGCGTTTTTGTTTTACTGAGGTAAATAAAAATGCCTTTTATTTTTCCTTGCCAGCTTTTTTGATAATTGTTTTAAAAGTCCTACTTGTCTCATGGAGGAGGTAGCTGCAAGGTAGCGAACACAATGTACATATGCAATGTCTTCCAATGTTTCTACGTGTTTTTGCAAATGGGACTTATCTATTAAAATACTTTTCTTGTATGTAAACTGTGGTTAAAGTGTTGTTCTTTTGCTATTAGACAGATCAAAAACAAGGCAACCGATTACTGCCAGCTTGGTGGGCGAGTAACATCTCAACACGTCCCACATGATGACTTTCTGGACTATCACCAAAAAACAAACAAATCTGCAGTTTACACATCATTTCACTGAAGACATTTTTGACTTGTCGCAGTAGGAAAAGCACAATAATATAACAAATCATGGCTTTGTGCGTCGCTTCACTGTGACCGAGCAGAATGTGGCTTTTTTGCAGTAAACAGTCCTCTGAAAAAGCTTGGTTCAAATAACTTATCTACAGTACATGAACTTACCAGTGCCAAATGAAAACCAGGGTCACTCTACTACTAATCTGATGATTTCCTGCTCTCATTAACGCTCTCCAGAATGGAAAATTACCAAATTCTACGGCTCACTTAACAGCCATGTCTTTTTTAGCAGCTTTTGAATTTTTCACGTACACCAAATGTGGTCTCATCCTTCAGATTTGTGTCTCTATTAATAATAAATACTCAGCAGAACAGGATACAGAGTATCTCTGGCCACATTGCTTATATGATTAATGTGCTGTAAAGTTGGCGTGGCAGCTCCTTCACACGATCTGAGAAACTCAACACCGGTCTCTCACCACTGTCTAGGACGAAGGCTACGGCCGGGGGAATGTTGGCATCCACAGAGAGGTGTAGGCCAGGAACCACAGCAGGGAGCAGGAACAGAGAGACCTGTAACCTAAAAGCTGGGGTTAAGTCCTGGTTCAGGGAAATCCCAGTGGAGCCGGACCTCTATCCTACTAGGTAGTTAATTGTCTTGAACAATTGGATTAAAAATAGGCCCCAACGTTCACCGTCTACTATTCAGTGTTTCTCCCTCCGCAGACTTTTAATAAAAGTTGCTCTGTGACAGAAACAATCTGGCTTTTAAATTCATCAAATGCATTAAATATTGTACATTATGCTGGCTTTGAAAGCCCTTGAAAATCCCCCGAAAATTTCAGTTTCAACTTAAAATACAAGTCTTTCCCTTACTAAAGACTAGCTGGCCAATATTAACCTGGTTTGCTTATATTACATGTAAATTGGGTCAAAAGAAACTTGTAGCTCTAAAATAGAGGTTGAGGAATAGAGCAAATGGTGGGTGACATTAATACACATTAATATGAGAAAAATAACTGAAATCCCAGCACATGAATAGCTGCTGCAGGTGTGTGTAGAAAAGCAATATATGCACGTGTCAACGGCATGATTGGAGGTGAGAACCCTTCTCGTTGGTTTATATAGTTTGTTGCTGAAAAGGAGTGTGACATGCAAGCTGGAATTGTTATGTTGCATGTGCCGTTGCCAGGACTCTCTGGGGCCACCTTGCTGGGATTTTGTTATCCATTGTTGAATACAGCTTGACCCCTGACCTCCACAGGGACATCCGATCTCAGTGGCATTAGAGACTCAAAGTCTTGCTAAGCATTTCAGCACCTCTCTCCTGATGCACTACTCTGATTTTGTATAATTGTACTCGGCCGAGCCTTCGCCTCCTGGTGTCCTCCCATCGTTACCTTCAGCGGGTTTATCGCGATGTTCAAGTTCAATTTTATTTATATAGCACATTTAAAAACAAGCTCAAAAAGCAGCGATACAATAAAACACAGACAGAACACAATGTACAGTACAAAATATCTGACAGTAGAGAAAGAATAAAGTCAAAATATCAAAGCTCAACTTGAATTAATAGCCAATGAATAATAGTGGGTCTTAAGCAGGGACTTGAACGTTGCAATGGTCCGAGCTGTTCTTACATGGATAGGTAAACTATTCCAGAGGTTTGGAGCAGCCACTGAAAAGGCTCGGTCACCTCTGGTTTTTAACCTGGATCCAGGCACATCGAGGAGCATCTGATTAGACGACCTCAGTGCTTTGATAGGTGTGTGGACATGTAAGAGCTCCGACAAGTAGGAAGGCGACAACCCATTTAAAATTTTAAAAACAATTAATACAATTTTAAATTCAATCCTGAAACAAACAGGAAGCCAGTGGAGGGTGGCCAAAGCCGGTGTAATGTGGTCGTGTTTTTTAGTCCTGGTCAAAAGTCGAGCTGCTGCGTTCCGGACTAACTGCAAGCGACGAAGGGATGATTGATCCAACCCAACATACAGTGAGTTGCAGTAGTCTAAGCGGGACGTAATGACTGCATGTATGACTCTCTCAAAGTCTTTGCGTAGCAGGTAGGGCTTGACTTTAGCCAGGAGTCTCAGCTGGAAGAAGCTAGTTTTGACAACAGAACTAATCTGTTTGTCAAGTTTAAAAGCACTGTCAAAAATCACTCCCAGATTTCTGGTAAAAGGACGAATTTGGGAGCCTAAAATACTGAGAGTATCTACACAGGCAATGAGATGTTCAGCACGTCCAAACACAACAACCTCGGTCTTATTGTCATTAAGAAAGAGAAAATTCTGATCCATCCATACTTTGATGTGAAGGAACGAGAGTCTCCCTCCGATTCCACAGCGACCGTCGTTCCTCTCGTTAATCCCACCCATAAGCTTGTGTTTGTTTCATTACAATCAGAGTATAGCTTATAGGGAATTGCAGGACACACAGGGATCAGTTAGTGCGGGGCCGACTGTGACTGTGAGTGTGTGTGAAGACGCTGTTTGTTAGCTCATTTTTAAGAATAATGCTTTTTTTAAACTAATTTTTAAAGGGAAGAAACAGAACAACTTGAAAAATGTTTTATATGTTTTAGATTTAGATTTCGATGTGCTGTAAATAACCATTTTAAAAGAAAGAGTGGAAATAAATTTACAACAACAACGGAGTTGATGCATTAGCTAAAACTCATCAAAAACCACAGCAGTCACTCGTGTGTACGATATTAATAATGGATGTCCTTGATGATAGTTGCTATTTCTCCATTTAGAACGACACTTCCCTTACAGTGAGTCTCCATGGGTAACCAGTATTTAGTTCATTCACTATGCAACGAGTTATACAAAGGCCATATGCGTGTATGCGTCTATGTTTTGAACACCCATGTAGAAGAACTTTTCACTTCCTCTTGGCTTAAACACTGTTCTTTCCAATTAGGGTAGAACTTCCTCGTGCAGGTGCTGAACATGGTGTTCATGTTTTGGGGGCTTTTACTGAAACGGGAACTTCACATGTATCTTAACAGTGACTTTGTGTACGTGTCAGAGCTGATGGGACACGTGACTGTCCGTTACTGTTACAGGTAACCGTAACTCAATGACAATCAAATGGTTTCATGACTTGGCAGAGTGGAAGAATACAGTACAGGGGGAATAGTACATGGGAATTGATGTTACATAAGCCTTTCTGATTCATCCAGTCATAAGCAAAGAATGGCGCAATAACAGCTTTGTAGAGTTTAATGGAAAATAACGTTTTTATTGGAGGAACTTCTCGATGTTGTTTTAAGATCCACATGAGTCCTATTTTGTTTCGCTCACCAGACATGCACCCAAAACTGGTCGCTGAATATTAAAAGCTGTAATGGAATCCAACCCACTAAGTGCAATCTTACAATCAGCTGAACAAGGAGGAATCATAGTGCTTTTTAGCTCTATACCATGAATTACACTTGAATTGTGCCTCTCTGACATACACACAATTCCCTTCCCAATGGAGTAACAACCAACTCTCACAAAACTGTGTGCAGTCAGTATCTCTCTCACTCACTTCTCCACAAAAGAAGACTTTGCTTTTGTCTCACTGCATGTGACAATAAGAGGGGGAGTGGAGATGATGGCGTGTTTATTTATTCATCAGCATGCATGCAGCCCTCGGCCCTCGCGTCATGTGACACTTGTTCTGTACAGACGAGATAAGGGGTGAGAATGGCAAAGAAGACCAAGACCTCTAACTCTATACCATGCAGGTTTGCGTGACCGTTCGTAGCCCACTCTTTGCTGCTATACACACACACACACACACACACACACACACACACACACACACACACACACACACACCATTTGGCTTAATTGGTCACACCCCCTCTAACACACACACCAATACGCACTCGCATAGGCAGACGCATTAATGCATTTACATAGACAAAGACAATGTCCGCATCTCCTCTCCCCACATCCCCCAGTGATTACGAGGGCAATCCTTATGGGTATATCACAGACACGCATGTACACACACTTGCGCAGGCACATATAAGCACACGCTACCAAGCATACGGATGAAAGTCACGCAATCCCACGGCCCCTGACCCTCACAGCCCGGCTTCTTCTTGCTTCCCAACTACAATTAGCTAATGAACAATAAGCAGCACTGATTGCTTAATGCCTTTAGCGCCGTCGAAGGTTCACGGTGTTAAACTTTTTTCGCCAGCCGTGTCAGATGACTTCAGGTACCCTTTCAATCCCTCGGCCATGTTCCAAATGATTGAATCTTTCCATTACCACTACGAACACATAAAAGCACTGAGAAGTACTTCTGCTTTTAGCTTGTATATTTATTCTGAAATGTAACTTAATGGAAAAGCCAAAAAACTGACATATTTTAGCTAATATTTTGAATTGGTTTTCCTACCTTTAGTTATTTCAACTATTCATCCTACTTTTACAACTCGATCAAACATGTATCCATAACACTTAATTATTACATTAGCACATACACTATCTGACAATTTAAACTCTTCATTTATGACCTTTAGCTCTTAATTTCAAACATTTCCTATCATTTAGCTGACTTGTTAACTACCTTTCAAGTTAAAGATAGTGGGTGACTGGTTCAGATACTAAGAAGAATGATAATAGATATAAATATATTTCCAGTCCTGGGGATTTAGAGGGAAAGTGCTGAATAGGAGGGTGTTCACTGGGATGCACTGTTAGAATGAATGTGCCCAGGGGAGACTCGCCAGTTGAAAGGTTACCGAGTGCAACCTGGTGATTCAGAATCTAGATATGCAGGCCACAGCTGACTGTGAGTCAGACACAAAGGTTAGCACATACACAACAAACAAGGAAGCCTGCTCTTACTGGTTCCACGGTTACACAAAGAGCTTTGCAGGAATGTCTCAGGAAAACCACTAAATCAACTCTCTTGTGCGTAACTCACATGCAATCGCAAATACATGCTTTATTATCATTATGCACTCCCATATTCAATCCTACAGGGCAAGGCCAGCAAACATGATCTGAACCTACAGGGCCAGGGAATGCTCTAATAATTCCCTGGTGAGATTAGGGGAAGCGTACAGTGAGATTATGGAGCCACTGCCAGCACTGTCTGTTTTGGGTTTGTTCATGCTCCAGTTGCCTGATTAATCTGCGAGGGTTACTGGGGGATAGACGATTAAGCCTCCCTCTTATGATGGTGAATGCTTCGACCTACTGGTCACAACAGCAAACTACAACTGAGGAGAGTTAAGTCTTTGTAAAATCAGCTTTGAAGCAGTGGAAGAAATGCACAGATTAAAATGGAAGCGGCTGTAAAAGGACGGCGTGATCCGTCTGTGTGTGAGCAGATTGATAATTACTTCAGTCTAGTCAACGGTACTCCCACAATGTAACCAAATATCCAAGTGGTATTTTTCTCCAGACTATGACAAGGTCCCCAATTAATTAGACTAATGTGCAGGTATTAATCATTTCCGGTCACAAAAAACGTGATTTGGTAAAAGGACATCTGATCCGAAATACTTATAAATTAAAAGGGGGAGCAGCAACGTTAAAACTAGCTGTGCACAATCTGCCCGTTTCTCCCCTTGGAATGAGAAAGTGCCTCCCAGTCACAAAACAACACTGAAACAGCAACTAGCAACTTGTGTGTGTTTATTTTGGTGTTTAACATGGTGGTTGTCAAACGGGGGGGTGCATGCTCTCTGATCTACTGTTTTGTAGAAACTGTTTTGTGGTATTTTGCCCTAAACAACGAACATAAGGCTTTTTTCATGCGGTGTGGCCACAAGTGGAAAGAAATACTTCCAAGTTTGAGAGAAGCAGTACAACAGCAGTTTTCGGCCCTATGTGAGTCATTGGGGATTAAAGTGATTAAACGACTGAAATGAACCAGTGGACTTAGTCACTCAGAAAAAAGCACTGTATGCACCTGTTCTGTCCCGACATTATTCAGGTTACAAGAAGTAGCTAAGTACCAAACAAAATGAGAATAAACAAAATATAGACTTTATTTTTAAACATCCGTAGTCCATCATCTTCAGCTAAAAGAACTGGAATGTCACTCAGCCTTCAGTCTCTGTGGAGTTTGAGTCGGTTTGTAATGAACGATGATCTGAATCAAGATGAAGGAGTTGATGATCAAGAAGAGTAATCCAGCCAGCCAGATTAACAGGAAGGTGTTGTAGCCTTCAAACTCCAGAAAGTACGCAGGGCCCAACCAGATGCCCTGATGGTGGACAGAAAAATATAATAGGTGCTTCATACCAAAGTTACATTTTGCACTTAAAACCCAAAATACGTTAAATTGCATTACCTGTCCGGCAAACCAGAGGAGGAGCAGTCCCACTCCCTGTTTCAGCGACAGACTCAGGTGAGGGATGACCAGAGGGAGTAGACACAGGTACCACAGGAAGTACTATGAGAGGATAACAAAGGACAGACCGCCACACCTCAGACACGCAGCATAAAACAAACACTCACCCCCCATACGACAGACTTCAAATGCTTTTGAACTTCAGAAGTGTGTGTGTGTGGGGGGGGCTGACTGAGGTACCTGTGAAGTACAGACTTTGTTGAAAGAGACAAAGATGGCGGTGTGCAGGAAGCAGCAGAAGGCCAGGTCGGAGTGAAAGGACCATGAGGCTACCAGCAGCAGGACGAGCTGAGGCAGGAATGCTGCCAGGCCGAGCCACTGGCTCCACCTGCTGCCTGCAACAACAAAGAATAAGGCTGGAAGCGGCTTCATCTCCTGCAATTACACTCCCAATTGAAAACTAGGAAAATAATTTTAAAATATCTGATGAAAACGGATTAGATAAACAACCACTTGCTGCTGAACATGTACTTCTGCACCTGAGCTAAGTCGATGCTGGTCTTTGTTACGTAGCTCTGTCTCTGCAGCAAGACGTCGCACTAGGAGGCTATGACGGGATAGAGCGGTGAGTACCTGTGGTGAGATAGAGCATGTAGAAGTATGGAGAGAAATTGTGTCTGATGTCCCTTCTGATCAGATGGTACAAGTAGGTCTCATGAAGGAACTCCCATCCATACCTGGCAATTCAGAAAAGGAGTATTGAGTGTATTTCTTTAGCTACGGGATGATGCACAAAAGGCTGCTATTAAGTAAGTCATATTAAGAACTCTCACATGTAGTAGAAGAGGGCTGTGAGCGAGCAGAAAACTCCTCCGGCCACACATGTAAAGAGGAGCAGCCTCCGGTTCAGGAAGCTTCCTGTAAACCCGATGAACCGCCTCCAGCCCGTCTTGTCCTTCTCAGATGTGGTCTCCGTCGTGCGCAGGGACAGAGCAATGGGCAAAGCATACGTAATGGGGTAGATCTTCATATGCACTGACAAACCATAGAGCACAGCCGCCCATGTCAGGTGACCGGCTAGAAGACAAAAAAAATACATCAAAAAGAGCATCAACATCCCAAAATATATTTTTGAAACAGAAAAAAAACCCTCACCTTCCATACACAGCAATGTCCCCAGCACCAGAGCTGCCAGCACTGCCTCAGCATTCCCCCGGCTGGACACTCCCATGGGCAGCGGGTTGAGTAGCCACAGAGAACAAACCCGCCGTGCAGTCTGCACAGAAAACCCCCCAAATACACTTCATCTGAAATGTGCATTTCCAGGAAAAGTTAAGACATTGTTGTTTCACGGGACAAAAACATACCTCAGGGTTCAGACCTCTCAGCCGGAGGATTCTGTAGATGAGGAGTCCCGACAGCACGTCACATACAATGAAGAGGATCTTGCCGAACGCCAGGCTGAGAAGGACGTTGGGGGCGAGCAGCCAGGCCAGCAGAGGGGTGTAGCGGTAGGTCGATCGGTTGTAGGGGGACTGTCCCTGTGCAGAAGTTCCCACATTGAAAAGAAGTAGGACTGTACTTAAAGTATCATAAGTACTCATCATGCAGACATCATGGCTACTATTTTTTTATTAGGTGGAGCTTATTTAAACCGTGTCATGTTGGGGAGTTTGATCTGTAATGTTAACAATATAATGAAGTTTCATAAATGCATTTAAGAGAGTAAAAAGTACTTAAAGTACTTGCTGTATTTCCTGTCACACCGGTTATAAGACAGCCAGTACCTCAGTGATGAATCTTGCAGCATCTGTGAACACATGGTAGTCAATGTCAGTGTACTTCACCACCATGGTCCGATCCTGGTAGTCTCCATAAGCCACCAGGGCCAGTCGTATCGCGAAGGAAGCCGCGAACAGGACGTGCTTTTCGGTGAGCTTGGTTATTAGCGCCTCCATCACCAACCATTCAGCAGGTAACTTAACTTAACTCTGGAAGCTAACTGGGCTAGTTTGTAGTCTTTGATATACTTCAAAGCCAAAGAATCTTTTCCCCTCATGTTATTATCCGCCACGAAGTATAGGCAATAGAGTCGTTACTTTTGATAAGCGACTCGTTTAAAAAAAAAAATAGTACTTCAAACATGACAACTAGGAAGTTACCCGGAATTGCGATTACTGATTTCTTCTTCTTTGCTTTCTACTCTTGGCAAAAACACACCGACTCATCAGCACCACCTGCTGTGCTGGAGCACGCTTCTTTTACAGTGTGTATATTTACAGTAGAGTTCAACGAGAAAGGGTGTATAAACTTTTAATTTCAGGAAAATAATGTAGAATTAGTGTCCCTCAAATTTAATTGACCATCAGCACTCTCAGCTATTGTTAAATAACAGTACGTTCAAGGTATCTCTTTGACAACCGGTGTGTGTGGATAATATGACACCTCAAAAGTGGTCATTGGGGGAGAATTCTATGTTTCTGTGCCAATGAAAAGAAAGAAAAATGATGAAAGGATTTTGAGACACAACATAAAAGAGAACAAAAGAACATTTTGTTGACAAAAAGGAAGAAATTCAGGAAATAATTAAATATATTATACTTTCATGAATATCCCCCCAAAAATGAGAAGTAAAAAGTAAAGAGTCAGAAAAGAGGCTCAAAATCAATCAATTTTCTGGCAAGAAAGCTGCAAAAACAACAAGCAGATAGCATATACAAATTAAGGGACCCAGTTTCTAAAACTATACATTGTGAAGAAGGAGAATTACAAAATGCCTTTTATATATAGAGCCTCTTGCATAATGCATAAGACCACATGATGGTCCCTTCCAACTCCTTTTCAGAATGAATGAACACACTAAATCATTTGGTAGATATGCAGGACGTAAACCAAATCTTGACCTTTGATTGTAAACTTCTAAAATTATTAGTGAGAATTTGAACAGAACTCCCTGAAATACCAAGGAATAATATACTTACCAAAAAAGATCTCAACATTAGCATTAGAAATAAATCATACCCCATAAATTACTCACAAGTTACACTGAAAAAAACGACAATTAACATTTACTTAAAAAAATCCTCGTAACAATTTGCACTCAAAATTTTTGAGTAAATTTTACTGCTGTGATATCCAGTAAAAGTTCCTTAATAGTATTAAGTAAAATCTACTTATTTCTGATGGTAACATTTGTGAAAATATTAGGTAAGTGTTACTTAGTTTAACTGATGTTTCAATTTTTATTACACACACAAATTAAGTACAATATACTATATTTTTTGTATACATATACATTTACAACATCAAAATATTGAGTAGATTTTATTTATCTTTGATATTTACTGTCGTAAAATTATCAAGTACTTTTTATCCTGTTTGATCATTTTAATTACTTGGTTGTTTGAAGTTATATTACCTAATTCATTTATGTAAATGTTACAAATTCTCTTTTGATAAATATTACCAAATACTATTAATAATCACACGGCTAAAATACAATTCCATTATTTATTCATAAACCTTTGTCAGGTACCTTACGTAACACCTCATTTTATACAGCTATGTAGAACTGTACATGAAACAGCAGTCAACATTTCACATGACAAAAAATTAAATGAAATCTCAGCAGCAGTAAATCAATAAAGCATCAATCAAGCATCAATAAAGAAAAAATGTTTACCTTTACCGAGTGATCATTACGCTATACAGAAAAAAAGCATATCACTGGAAAATCAAAATGTTTTTGACCCCTGGACGCATTAAACTAAACAGGGCACATCAGGTGACAAAACAGATTGAGGGACCTGACAAAATATGCTGTACTGACATGAACAACATTCTAAACAACAACATCCATTAACATATTTATATTAGCATTCGGTTAAAACATTAAAGTTTGAGGACAACATCAAATCCTCTGTTAAAACCTTTAAAAAAAAAGGTTATTTTTAACTTTTTCTTTACCTTGTGAGCATGAATGACAGCAGTTGCCTTTGTTGACAACATTAGGAACATTTAAGAAAGAAAACTCCTTTCAGACAGCAACTTCAACTTTAAAGATGTACTTTTGGTGACAGCTTTATCCCATTCAGTTCCAGGAAAAGGTTTTGAAACACCTCAAAGGTGTAGCGCAGAGTCCAGGGGTAGGCAAGGTTCAGGGAATAAATCAGTCCCATTAGCAACGTGGAAGCTTTGGCTGTGCTGTTGCATCCTGTCAATACCTCCTTCCCTTCAAGAATGATGGAAACATCTACTGGTTCTTCTCCATCAGTACCATGGACAACCAGGATCTTGACTATGTGTTGAGTGGCATCACTGCGATTGTCCTCCTGCATGAAATTCACAAGAAAAAAGAAAACTATTTAGTTGACAACAATTCAAGAGTAGGAATACCAGCCTTCTATAGACTATTACAAGAAGTGTTGTAAAACGTATTTAAAAGTTATGCCTAAGTAAAAAAAATTAAATTTGGTGGTTAAATACTACTTTGGTGCAAAAAAATATATTAAAATCACCCATAGATATTGTACTCAAGTAAAGAGACAAAAAATTATTTTAGAAAGAAAACGTGGTTTACCAGGCAATCTTCGAAAAGTTTCTCTTCTTTTTCACCAAGGAATAGTATGAGGCCACGGATAACTGCGTCACGTCTCATGTCAGTGCTTGGGTTCTGTGAAAGGAGTAATAGCATCAGTTGCAAACAATAATTTGTACACAATATACTATCATGTCAGAAGATACGAATACTTGCAAGGAGCAGTGGTTTGTTTCCATGTGTGGAAAGGAGAAGTATGTTACAGAGAGTGAGAATTTGTGTTGTCTAGGACAGGGGCAGAATGTGTGTGAAACTGTGACACACAGTAGATGTCTTCCTGCAGAAGATACATCAAACATACCTGACTCAGTTTATCCAGATGGGGCCTCAGCCTGGTCCCCACAACACCTCCCTTGGCTTTCATCAGGGCAGTAAGCTTTGGTGTATAGTGGTCTAGTTTGTATATGAAGCATTGCTCTAGAGAAATTGTAGTTATTCTCCAAAACTCCTCCTTGATCTGTAGATCTTGATCTGAACTGTAGAATGGATGAACAATAAAAACAGCAAAATTGTGTCATGCATACATGCAGTGTATTTGTACTTGCCTAATCACAACGGTGCAGTATTTGATTAGTCACTGAACAGCCCAGCGCTCCTGACTCTCCGGTCACCTCATGTCCCAGCCGGCTAAATGCAAAAACAGTCGCCTGTGAATGAAAACACATTTTTAAGGGCAACTTATAATTTATAGATTCATTTACAGCCATTTTCATGTTGTGTTTGTCTCTTGACCGTGGCACGCAGCTTCAACGATACACCGCAACGCGGCCGCCATGCTAAAAGTTGAGATGATGTTTCGAGGTGAAAGCACATAGACAATAACTAAAAAACGAAAAACTTTGGCGTAGCGTTGTGTTATATTCGCACTACACGGGACAGTACATGAGACAAAATACAATAGCTCTGAATAAGATATAGTATCTCGCAAATTAACCGCGCGGTGTGCGACTCTGGTGGAATGAACTGGCTAATAACTAGCAAGCTAGCATCAAGCTACATCACACAAACCTTGGTGTAGACCGCTCGGTGTGCAGTCCATACAATGCTTCAAACTAATCACCAAAACGCGTTTTAAACTGATAATAAATTATTTTATGGATAAAGCTGTTACTTACCTGAGAGATTCCGGAGATATTCACAACTCTGTCTGCTGCCAACGAACGGACAATGGACATCTGCGCGGTTCTTTCGTTTGTCCCAATGCGCATGCGCTGATTCAAACGCACTCTAAAATAGTGTCGTAAAATTTACTCAGTATTTTAGTGTTTCTAGCAGAGACTAAAAAACATTTAAATGTTATGAAAACATCCATAATAAGACTTACTCCTTCCACACAGCCATTTTAAATACATAAATAAATTGTGTACATACATGTAATTTTACTTGACAAAATCTAGTTCCCGCAGAAACGAAAAATTTAATTGTAGACATTAGGACAGTTTAATTAGTATATTTTACTACACCACCAAGTTCGTTTTTTCAGTGTAGATGACATACATCGATAAACGACATCTATGTAATGGAAAGGACCACCTTGTCCCTTTTTTATCATACAAACCTGTGACAATTGGGTGGGGCACATAAAAAAACCCTTACTCACAGATTTTGTGGAATACGGGTTGAACGACCTCGTAGCATGTCTTTAGTCGAGGAATCCTCACTGACCCCAATCAAGTCCCCCTGTCGGCTGTCTGCTTGTTTTAAACTGTGGACGGCATGTATGTTGGTGTGAATGTATACTTTTTTTTCACCTAAACTGTTAATAGGATTTCCTTATGAATACAGCAAAGAACATTTTTTTAACCACACACTTTTATTCCACATGTAAGAGCATAAGGTTACATTCAATGGGCTTCGTTTATGTTTATCACATGGATAATGGTGCAAACTAATGGACACTCTCTTTGGTTGAGTGAACATATCAAATTCGAAAGTTGCATGTTCTGCAGATAAAGGTGAGTGAAAAAAAACAGGAATCTGGATTAAGGCATACGTTTTCAAAGCTTTTAAGGCTTTAAGATAAGATGAATTCAATGGTATAGATAAAGGAGGTTAAGGGTTGATGGTGCAGCAAACGGGGTCATACGTGCGTTACGGACATTGAGTAAACCAGATCCTGAGGGTGAGATTAGGCGCCAAAGATAACAGTGCAAGAACGTAAAGCAACGCCACAGACTCCCCTTGTCATTCTGGTGTTGAAGGTGCAATCAATCTTTTGTAATCCCTCCCCCACCCTCCTCCACCACTTTCTGTTGAGAAACACCGCCATAAGCGGCGTGCTCACTTAGGGGAGCAGTATCGGCCGGCAAAGAGGATGCTCATAGACGGGTTATGTCGGATGAAGAAGAGGAAGGGGTGGTCCGCGATGAAGGAGGCTGGCATGGACATGCGCAGCATCATGATGGCGGCGGTGGCGGCGGCAGCCTCAGTTCCCTCCTCGTTGACCTCCACGAAAGCCTTGTGGACGACCTTGGACAGCACCAGGTCGTTGCCGGGGGCCATGCCTGTCACAGAAGAGAAGATTTCAAAGAATTTAACTGGTGCTTCTAATTATATCGTGAACATATCCGATGTGATCCTGGCACACATCCTACCAGAGAAGTCACACATCACCGGGTCGAAAGCGTCCACCATGCCCATGCTGACCAGGACATTCTTCATGTCGTAGTTCTCCTCCATCTTGAACCGAGGCAGCCCCACCCGAATCTCTACTTCATTCATCATGTCTGGACGAGTCCAATCCACAAAGTTGTCATACGTCAGCGCCTTCTCCAGCTGGAGGTGGATACACAACCAACTGTTTGTTTTCTGTGTCTCGTTAAGATAGCATGTGTGTGTCTGTGTGTGTGTGTTCTACCTTCTCCAGACCCGTTGTACTGTCCTCTATGTCACTGGGCAAAAAGATGAGCATGCTGAGCTCCATTCCTTTGTAAGGCATCTCCAGGACCTGTGCAACAGAGGGTTTCAAATTTTACAGAAAATTCTATATCCTGGTTTGGAAAACAACATGGTGATGTTTTATGTGCCACAAACAGTCTACGGGATGACATGCAACAACAGCAAAAACAACCGTAACAATCGCTTAATTAGAGTGACGGGCGGTACGATGTACCTGGCAGTTGGCTTCTGGGATGTAGGTCACGGGGAACTTGGATTTCTGGTGCATCATCTTCACTGACGTGGTCTGATTCTGAAAACCAGCAGAGAAATACGCAAACCTGAAGTAACTCCAATGCAGGTTCAGCATACGTCACCTAGTTGCAAGAAAAGTGCTGCAGGGTGCGGTTAACACAGTGTGAGTCACTGATGGGTGTGGTCAGATGTGCAACAAACTCCACAAAAGGATTGCTGGTTGCTTTTCAGTTTCTGTCGACTTCTGGTATAAAGTGACTCAAATTGTCAAGTGACTCAAATTCTCGTTTCTCCTGAAGTTTAGCAACCAGTGAGTAACGTGTAGACATTGGGATAAACGCCCTCTCAGACTAATTTGCAATAGAAAAACGTCAAGACAAATTCCTTTTTACCAAGTAATCAGATTGCGCCATTTTTGTCTTTCCACCTTCAATCAGTGTCAGTTAGTCAAATATGTTGTTTGAGCAGCGTTACCTTGTTGATCCTGAACTTAACATCCTGAGTGGCACTCTCTTGGAACTTCTTGTTCCAGTTGCCTTTGAAGTAGATGGCATTGACCAGCACCAGTCTGGTGTATTCGTCCAGCAAACCCTCGGCCAGCAAGTCCTTAATTTTACCTGGAAATCCAGAACGGCCACCGAGGTGAAGCAGCGCAAATGAAAGCATGTCTGCCGCCATGTTTCCGTGTACGACAGTGCGTTCCACCCACCTTGAGTCTGCTCGTGCACCCACTTGTTGATGTTGAGCCTGGCCGCTTCTGACCCGCTCACAAAGTCCACGGCCTCCAGCTCTGCGCTGTAGTGCTTCTTCGTGCTTCCCAAATAATCCTGGAATCATCATCGACACATTTACAGATCACCCAATCCAAAGAATCTCTTTGCCTAACTTTAGTTAGTTGTAGTTACTATGCACGTATGCTTGCCTACTGGCCACCCTCTCATTCATTGTTCCTTCTTGCAAAGCCTAACGATTCATGTGTGTTCCTGTTATTCGCTGCAGCTCGATATGTGAACAACACACATACTGAATCACGCGCACACACACCTCAACAAACTCGTAGGACTTCTCCCCGTAGAGTCTGTTAGCGACGCTGAGGGCATACGGCGCACCAGCCTTGTTGAGCTCGCTCAGCAGTTGGGCAAAGCTAACGTGGACGTCGTCCTGACAACCCTGGGTCTTCAGGCACTGTGGAGAAAGTAGTCGGTTAGACTGTGAGAGTGTTACACAGTGATGCACGGAGCACGTGACAGACGACGCTGTGTCATTTTGCCTATTAAGTGATGAGTTTGACATGTTTTCCTTGTGGGCTTTGGTGCTCCACGCGATGCATTAGCAGTTTAGAAAGCATTGCGTTGAGGGACGGTGGGTTGCAGCTGCTTACCTGATTCAAGTTAGTTGTTCATGAAAAATAAAAAATAAACGGACAAAATCTATAAAACAGAAATATCGTACTGAGGATAATTGGATCCGCTAGGACTTTCTCATCACTTAATGGCCATGATCCTTATTTTTTAAACAGTTAATTCCTATAAAATTAAGGGTTTCAGTGTTTCACCCTCCACATACAATAAATATTGTATCGTAACTCCGTCATCATTTACTTGTCAATGTTAATGTCAATGCATCCCAGCAGGCTGCAAATAGGGCAGAAGGCAAAAAAAGAGGCACCGCTTTAACACCTTTAACACCTTTAACAGAGACTCAAGAGAAGCCATGGAGGTGAGAGGAAACATCCATGTAACATCCCTCCACCACTGTTATTGACATGGTTATCTTCACAAACACATGACAAAGATTTTCATTCTGCGCGATTCAGAGCCATGTCTATCCAATAAAAAAAAATGAAATTAGCTTTTCTTTGATAATATATGTTAACCACCTCAAAGAAGTTTGTACACAATATTAAGGCATATATGTACGGCGTAATTTGAGTGTAGACTACTTTCCTAATCTTCGTTTGAAGTGACCTTACACACTGTTTTTTCCAGCAGTTGCAAAAGATAAAATAAAAGCACACCAGGAAGAAGCCATCAATAAAGAAGCCAGGGCTACATTCCTGTGTACTATGTAAAATGTGTGGTTGAACACACACAATAAACCTACAGTGGCGCTTGCTTTGTTGTTTTCTTTTCAAATTCAGCTCGTTCTAGCAGCAGATGAGAGATCAGCAAGCAAAGCAGAGTGGAAACAAGCACAGGATTCTCTACTGGAGCACGAGTTCCCAGGATCCCCTCACCAGGTCACACCACCCTGTTAGTAAAACGCTCCTCAGTGAGTTTATGACTCCTCCGCTGTTGGCTCCGTTACCCTCTTCTGCAGATGCGGTGGCAGTTTGAACGAGGCCTGCTGCTGCATCTGCACCTGCCCTGCTCCTGCGTGCCGGGGCTCCTGTGCCTCGGTGAAGCGGAGGACCTACAGTAGGGGTGCAGTTGTGCTGTTGGGTTAGACACCACGCGTCTCTGCACATATCTCTTGTTCACTAGCATTGGCGGAGCACCTTGTTGGCAAACTGGCTCATGACAAAGTTGGAAGACACTGGTTCACACAACCGTAGGTTTACGGTAACTTATTGCTAAATTCAAATCCTCATGCGCAGCCACATGTCCCTGTGACTTGTCGGACGGAGTCACTCGCCCACTCACTCAATTACTCACTCAGCATGCTCGCTGTCAACTGTCAGCTGAATGTTTCCACCTTTGGAATCACAGCCTCTATACAAAGAACAGGATAGAGCTCCTTGCTTTGCACAGTGATCCTTTCACAATGGGCTTTTTTTTATTTTTTATAACACCAGCTTTGTCACTGACCCGGAAATAAGCCCAGCGTCATGGCAGCAGGAGACAGCAGGGAACCAGAAAAGGCTAAATACTGATAATAGTCACTATTATGTGACACCACGTATTAACACAAGCCCTCGATAATGAAGATCACTACGCAATCTTCTACAATATTATCATTTTAAATGACTGGAAGGAATGTGGACGTTGAGTCAAGCCCAGCCCCACCCACATATTCACCCTTCCACCCTTCAGCTGGGAGTGTCTCTGCTTTAGCAATCCCTCAGAAAAATGTGGTTTTTATTCTTCTGCTTTTACCTCTGCTGAACTGCCACTGTGTGGGTTCTTTATATCTCCTCCAGGGTTATTCCAAAAGCATATTGTTAGGCATAATTGTTTTAATGTCTCATAATCACAGAATACACAATATATTTAAAATGTTAAAGGAACCTCATGCTTCTTAATAACATAGGAAAAGCTAGACATGTGTTTCTGCTGCACATGACATAGTAATGGGAACTGATAATGTGTACAGATTACTCTACGTTTATCTTTATTACCCTTACACTTCAATATTATGTTTCAAGTTCCCATAGAAACACAACAAAGAGCCGCTCCGCCCCCATAAAACCTGAACAGAACAGATCGTTTGTCATTTTTGCTTACGCTGAAAGAAAACCACTGGTGATTCATACGCGGCCCTACGCACTTCAGTGTCGCCCTCTGCCCTATTCCAATAAAACATATCCCACTATCTTCATAATTGCTTGAAATGGTCTCAGAGGATCCGTATTGACTTTTAGCGAGTTTTAAAAGACACAAGCTCGTAGGGGCGTTTTCATGGTTTCACTTGCAGCCTTTTGGCCACCAAACGGACAAACCAAGGAGACCCCACGAAATCACGCTGAGCCAGGTGCCCTCACCTACCGAGACATTAAATGTTAATGTTTTTACTTTTCTCAAGGACAGCCTGTGTGTGTGTGTGTGTGTGTGTGTGTGTGTGTGTGTGTGTGTGTGTGTGTGTGTGTGTGTGTGTGTGTGTTGGATCTCACGGTCTTGCAAAAACAGGTCAACGTTTTCCATGAGAAAATTAGCCTGGGTCGTGTCATCTGTAAGTACATTTCTATGTCCGAATCGTCTCCTTATGATTTTAACATTACTCGTCCATTAAAAAGCATGTGTCAATGACAATGTCACCCCAACACAAGCCTTTTTCCTGCCATGGGATGATATATGGCGGTGAAAATCCAACACTGTGATGAACCAGATCCGCTGACTTTCAATGAACTTTGAATGCATGCGTGAATAAACAAATCCAGATGGATGTGTTACGTTAGAATTGGAACTTTTGCAGCTGTCCATATTCTCAGAATGTGTTTGTGTGTGCGTACGCTACCTCTGACATCTGCGTGGCTGTGTTGCCCTTGGCCCCCAGCATCACCATAGCCAGGGCTGAAGAGATGCTGAAGGGGGAGTAGAAGACATTTGCGGTCTTGTCTTTATCTCCAAACTTTTTGAGCAAAGCCAGAGAGAAGGTGGTGTTGGCCTTGGACAGAGGGGTGGGTGATGCCATTGTCTCTACAAAGAAGGCGGAGTAGCAATCATTACTGTCTCACCAACTGCAGATTCTCTTAAAACACTTCTTTTTTTGTAACCAAAGTGAACATCACCAAGTGGTGTTTTCATTTATAACTGAAGAGGATTTAGAAATACGTTTCATTGCTGGTGGCTTTTATGCAAATAACCAGATTGTAAATATATTTACAAAAAACACCATGTAGCCTACTCAGGAAAGTATTTGAATATGTGGTGTTTAGTCAATATATATACAAAACATTAAGAATTCTAGAAAGAATTACACTTACAATAGAATAGTAACATAACACTCGTGGATGACAAAAAGTAACTAATTATTGTGTTACATTTATCAGCGATATCTTACAATTTACAATCACATATCCTTTATGCATTAACTTCATGCATAACTTCATTCTTATGGCCGGATCATGGCGATGTTACATGCGTACACGCATTTAACTCAACGGACTCATGAGTCGTTCTCATTTGAAGAGACTTGATCAAACGAGTATAACTACTTAGGTATGAGTACACACTGTAAATACACTACATGCATTATTTACATCCCACTGTTTAAATGTGAATGAGAGTCATCCTCTACTTACTACCGACGACTTTCTGTGTAGTCCTCAAACGTAACAGGAAGACTTCTGTTTCCACCCCCCGGTTTTATTATTTACACTCCAGCTGACCCGCCCCGAAAAGCCGCACGAGCTTCCGCCTTCACGTCAGGGATAGTTCAAATATGACGAGTTACGTCGTCGCGGTACCGCGCATGCGCAGTGAAATCGAGTCTAACGTCGGTGCGTCCCTTTAAATTCTAGCGCCCATCTGACGTCACTGCCCAGGCTACACTGCGCATGCGTCACGCCACGGCCCTCAGGCCCGAGTCCCAGCTGTGCCCGTGGATGTGCAAAAGCCTCATGTGTCATATGGAGAAGAATAGCGTCGAAAACGAGATGCGGGTTTGTCATTAACCGAGGGAAATAAAACCTTCATCAGTTCTACCCTAACCATATCCCTAGTAGATCTTATAAATGACAATATCGCATTGTGTTGCATATTACTAATGATGTTTGGGGGCAAAAGATGAGAGTATGAGACAGCAAATGATACACGGTTATTTACTTACTCAGTTACACGCAAGAATATTTGTCAAATGCAAATAAGGATCAGTAAATCACTTATTAGGATTTGAAAGTCACTAAAAGCAATATACTGGGCACAAAGTGGGTGACCATATGAGTGGGTGACCATATGTGTTATGTCATGACCGAAAGAACTAGGTCACGGGTACAAGCGTCCGAAATGGGTTTCCTCAGGAGAGTGGCTGGCGTCTCTCTTAGAGATCGGGTGAGAAGCTCAGCCATTCGCGAGGAGCTCGGAGTAGAGCCGCTGCTCCTTTGCGTCGAAAGGAGCCAGTTGAGGTGGTTTGGGCATCTGGTGAGGATGCCCCCTGGCCGCCTCCCTAGGGAGGTGTTCCAGGCACGGCCAGCTGGGAAGAGGCAGGACTAGGTGGAGAGATTATATCTCTGCACTGGCCTGGGAACGCCTTGGGATCCCCCAGTCAGAGCTGGTAGATGTGGCCTGGAAAAGGGAAGTTTGGGATCCCCTGCTGGAGCTGTTGCCCCCGCAACCCCGACCCCGGATAAGCAGCTGAAGATGGATGGATGGACAAAGTAGGTGTTTTTTTCTCCTTTCAACCCGGCTTTGCATTTGGACAGATGGACAGAAACCTGAGGCCGATAATAGACTGAGCAACACTGTTATGTTCCACCAGATGGTGCTCATCGCTAGAGTTCTGTGAGATGATTGCGAGGAAAGGACGGGCTCATTGATGCATTTTGTCCTTTATGCCCCATATGTGTTCTACCCAGCCGTTGCAGTCTTGAAGCGTGTCCTGTAAATTCAAATAACATTGTGTAGCCTGTTATAAAAAATGATTTATGAGATAAAGACAGCACTGATACAGCAGTGTGGCCTATTTTAGGATATTCCCACAGAAGATGCCTGACAAGCTTCCTTCGATCATTGTGACACCGGATCACAGACACTACATGATGGACACCCAACACACACACAAGGAAAATAACTGAATGGCTTGAATCTCAAACTCATTCATTTAAAGTAGTATTCTCTCAAGTTCTCCAATCAATGGGGACATTAAAATTGTTCTATTTTAACAAGCTTCTTTATTGACCTGCAAAAAATGCCCTTTCCATTTTGTGACAGAACAGAACTAAGACAGAACTAACAGAATCATCAAGTAAAATACATGCAAGCAAAATGTTGGGGAAAAACATGTAACCTCTGAGCTCCCATATGCCTTTTTTAATAGATTGAACACACAGTAGTTTCTATTCAAAGGCTTTCCTTACAAATCTATGTGTTGAAAATATAGCACAGCCTAGACTGGTGATTCTCCATTTTTTCCAGTGATACCTATTAGCCTCATGGCCTAATATAATAGAGCATAGCAGCCAGGGGAGGGTCCTGGCTGCTATGCTCTACACAGGCATGGAGGATTGCTGAAGCTGAAAACTGAAAACTAAACAACCACAGAGATGCAACATGACTGATACGAGATATGGAACACGTGTGAGACAGCATGCACCCACTGAGACGCAACACGTCTACAAAGAGATGCAACATTTATGTAATCTTGTGTGTTTTGAATCTGTAGCTCTCATTGTCACGTGGTAAAGGGTCAGAGCCCTTTACAGGCGCGTGCTCGGGGGCCCATTGTCTCACTCAGGGGAGCAGTAACGGCCGATAAAGAGGACGGTCCTGGTGGGATTGTGTCGGATGAAGAAGAGGAAGGGGTGGTCCGCGATAAATGTTTGAGGAATTATTTCACAATCCGCCACGATGCCGGCAGTGGAAGCCGCAGCCTCAGTTCCCTCCTCGTTGACCTCCACGAAAGCCTTGTGGACGACTTGTGACAGCACCAGGTTGCTCGCAGGGGACATGCCTGTGAGCAGAGAGGAAGACCACTGCATGATCAACATTAGCTCTGCATGTTTTCGTTCCAGTGCCACACTTTAAGTGGTGCTCTATCGATTGTCCGTCGAAGACGTGTTATGCTGTTAGAATAATTATGCAGCTCATTCATGGTGCGTTTCTCACCGGAAAAGTCACTGTTTGTGAAAGCGTCCTCCATGCCCATGCTGATCAGAACGCTCTTCAAATTATACGACTCCTCCATCTTGAAGCGAGGAAGCCTCACCTCGATCTCAGTTTGAGCCATCTTGTCTGGGCGAGTCCATTCCACAAATTTCTCATAGGTTAGCTCCCTCTCCAGCTGGTATGGATGCAATATGAATTATTAATCGGCCTTTTTAAAATTGTGCATTGATTTTGTGAGTGTGTTCTACCATCTCCAAGCCTGTTGTGTCGTCCTCTGTACCGTCGGGCAGGAAGATGAACATGCTTAGCTCCTTTCCTTCATACAGCAGCTCTAGGATCTGTCGAAACACATTATGTTTTTCCCTCTCAATCTTTTTCCAATATTCTGATTAGTTACAGGAATAAACAGTACAGTTTTGAACAAATGAAAGAGTGTAAGCATTGACAAACTGTGGTAAATCGGTTCACAATATTTTCTTGATCTGTTCTCTAATCCTCAGCATATCAGATTGTGTAGCAGATAACCAGACATTAACCACTCTGTTGGAAAACAAGGACATTACCTTGACGTTGGCCTCAGGAATGGAAGTGAAAGAGAATTTGCTGGTCTGGCACATCATCTTAACCGACTTGGTGTCATTCTAAGGACAGCAAATAGAACAGGCACGTTTATTGTCTTCTGTAGGAACAGGTATCAGATTTTATTGGTTCTTCTACTCTTAGTTGAACTTATTATTGGTACAAATCTTTTCAGAACTAAAGAATTGCTTTAAAAAAATAAATACACGTATAAAGATTCACATGTTCATCCATCTCCATGTTGATTTCTTTTCCCCACACCTTCTGCAGTGTTACCTTGTTAATTCGAAACTTAGCATCCACAGTAGAAGCCTCTTTGAACTTCTTGTCCCAGTTGCCTTTGAAGTAGATGGCATTGACCAGGACCAGCACGCTGCTGGCGTCCACTACACCCTCACCCAGCAAGTGCTGGATTTTTCCTGGTGAGCAGTGTCAAGTAAGTAAGTCATTATTAAGTCAGAGAAACAGACACTGGTGATCCCAATGTTTTCTTCCCAATTTCAGGTAAATTTGATTTACTTTTCCATCACAACTTCTGGATGTATTAACACTGTGTGTAAAAAAAGAACATAAAAGGAGCAAATAACACAGAAGAGCAGGCTGCAATTTATAATTAGGTAGAAAATAATTACTTTGAGAGAAAGAGACATTTTCACATTTAAGTTGAAAGATGGTAGACGTGGGTCGCTCCACTCGTACGTTAGCTTTCATACGATGGTGAGGGCCTGGAAAGGGGCCTTATGGTTCCAATGTGTGTAATGCATGGACGAGTCTGAGTGAGAGCTACCTTGCGTCTGCTTCTCCACCCAGCTATTGATGAGCACCCTGCTGTCATTTGCTTTGGTTTGAAAGTCCACAGAATCCAGCTCAGCTTTGTAGTGCTTTTTGATTTCTGATAGGAAATCCTTGAATCAAAAAAACAACCCATTATAAACCCACATTAACCAATCCACAACGAAGAAATGAATACTAATCCCAGATGTTGAAATAAAGCCAACAAGTGCAAAGCTGAAAGCACTCATTCCGTATAACTTCCTGAGAGTTGACAACACAATTGACACTTTGCTAAGCCCCGCCCCAGAGAACCAACAAGCCCACTGTCAATCATCACACCACCAAAAGTGTACATTCACTCAGTGAGTGCAGTTAGCGGCTCCAAGGTAGCTCTTACAGGTAAACGGAGTTGCAAAGGGAGGTGGGAATCAACAAAGGGTCCAAGGCCTCATTCAGTTTGCAATCGGACATTACGAACCACGAGAAGCAAAGATCCAGCTAACTAGGAATTCGGCTGCACATTTACATGGTGGCTGCCCAGTTTCTTACCAATTAATGAATAAATTCTGAGAAAAACAGGCTCACAAACACACTTCAACAAACTTGTAGGTCTGCTCCCCATACAGCCTGTTGGCAATGGTGAGGGCAAATGGAGCGTCCTTCTTGTTGAGCTCACTCAGCAGTTTGGAAAAGCTAGCGTGGACATCGTCTTCATCGTCCTCAGGTTTCAGGCACTGAAATTAGCCAGAGAAGAGCTGCGTGTTACAAAGGCACATTGATCCAGTGATGGATGCAAGGGAACTTGGTATTATGTTAATATGGCGCATTGAACTAGTGGTCAGCTTACCTCCTAAATAATGACAAAAGACATCATCATCGTTACACAGCATAGAGCATTGCAAACACTGTTGTGTGTTTAAAAATTACCATGGCAGAAAATTAAACATTTGGCACCCTTAAGACATTTCATGAATACATGCTGACTACTGTTTTTTCAAAAACTAAATGTGTGCCAGTATGAGATGCTGCCCAGTGAAAAGAACATAGAATGAATGATTTTGGTGTGGTTGATCATCATTTACAATAATTTGAATTCAGAAAAAGTGAAACGTGAAATAACCTGTGGGGAATTTTGGTTGTTGTTGCAGTTCCACACAATTATCCACCTTTTGCTCACCATTATGTTGTTTTACACTATCCTCTTCCTAATGGACTAATTATATTTAAGGATGAAGAGCAACGTTTGCTTTGTCGAGGCATCTTTCCATACAAAGGCTTGCTTTTTAAATATGCACAGTAGCCTTTAAATGTCCAGATTATGTTCCAAAAGATGCAGCATGATAAACATTGGTGAGCAAAGCAGTGTGAATACCAAAATCTCCCCGCCATAGGACACGACTAAGCCTGATCGTTAATAACGCCTTTAATTTTGGCTTTGTAACCACCTTGACCAGATACTGGGGCAGTCTGCTTCTCTGCTGTATCTGCGTCCGCAATTGCCTCCTCGTCTGCATCTGGGACTGCATCAGTGTCTGCGCCGGTGTCTGCGTCCGCGTTTGGGTCTGCTTTTCCGTCTGCGTTTCCGTCTGCTTTTCCGTCTGCTTTTCCGCCTGCTTTTCCGCCTGCTTTTCCGTCTGCTTTTCCGTCTGCTTTTCTGCCTGGTTTTCCGTCTGCTTTTCCGTCTGCTTTTCTGCCTGCTTTTCCGGCTGCTTTTCCGGCTGCGTTTCCGCCTGCTTCGGTTGCTCTGCCTCAGTGAAGCAAAGGACCTGGAGGAGCAAATGGCAGTTTCTCTCATTAGTATAGGATCAGTGTACAGTGTGTGTGTGTGTGTGTGTGTGTGTGTGTGTGTGTGTGTGCAGAGGGGAGGGTAAACGCACATTAACAACATCCACGCATCTCTGGGATTTTGGAAATAGCTTTTACGCACTTCTAAGTGGCGTTTACGCACCTCAACGTTCCCTGAGCTTTGTATTCTCCGTTGGAATAATCCCAAATAAATTTGTTGTCATTTTAAAACAAGTGTAGTGTATGATGCAAGTGAAATACACAGGAAATATAAATGAACACTTTGAAAACTGTCACGGTTTGGGTTAATGTCTTATTTTGTAGTTTCTTGCCTCTGTTCTCCCTGGGTCATGTCACTTCCTGCCTTGTCCTGTGCTCCCCTGTGATTGTCTGTCATGTCATGATTGTTTCCAGCTGTTTCCAATCACCTGCACCTCCCTTGTGTATTTAAACCATGTGTGTCTGTTGTCACTTGTTGCGTCATTGTTAACCGTTTGGAAGTCCTGTCCACGTGCCTGTTCCCAATCCTGGTTCGGCCTTCGTTTTTGCCTTTTTGGCCTTTTGATTTTGAAAACCTTGTTTGACTATTAAAGTCCCCTTTTGTTGCTTGAAAGAACTCTGCGTTTGAGTCCTGCCTTCCACCTACCCTGACAAAAACAAGTCAGATCTCAAAGAGAAAATGTTTGCGGTCTACAACACAAATGAAGTTCGGAGGCAAAGAAGAACAGATCCCGTCTGACGCTGGGAGACAGAATGATTAATCCACACATGTCCAAACACTTTGTCCTGCCGCACCCAACTGTGCAACACAATGAGGTCAAAGTTTTGAGAAAATCTGACCAAAACCCTGATATCTCAACACATTGCGTTGTGTTGCATCATGTCAAGGTCTGGTCGCAAAATTCATAGTTTAACCACCTCTCTGATTGGACCTCAACAGTCCTGCATACACATTTAACCTCAGTATTACTGATCATGCTCTTTTCTTTAACCACAACGCTGGAAGACATTTTGAGTAAAATTCCATCACACATTCATCCTCGGGCGGCCTTGGGGTGTGGTGGTTAACACACACACCTCACAGCAGGGCGGTCACAGGGTTTAAACCCGCCCAGGGATCTTCCTGTGTGGAGTTTGCATGTTCTCACCGTACCTATGTGGGTCCTCGCCGGGTACTTTGTCTCTCTCCCTCAAGAGGGGGACTCGACAATGGCCTATAGGCCCTCCTCTTACTCTAAGAGTAAACATCATTGACTTGTCATTGATTATATATTTTATATTCTGGAAACAGAATACGGAGTTGTCCAATTCCCTTGCATGTAAAGTACTTGCATCTTTTAATTAAAGCAGTGAGAGCACTGATACCATGCGGTAAAAGTAGAAGGTTCATTCATAAATGTTTGCATTAGTTGAAGAACAAAAGTTTTAATCCGAGACTGAGTCAGTCTTCCTGCACTCTGAGTTATCTCGTTTCAGAGTCACAATATTTTCTCTTGATACGTTTTTGATTAGATGCCTAAGGTAGCGCCTGTTGCAAGCTTAAGAGATTTTAATAGTTTTGTTCAACAAGATAAAATCCCTCCCGAGAACCGTTGTTATGCTAACATTCAAGTAATTTCATCCCTTCAGCTCTCTCATTACAGCAGCATGAAATAAGGTTACAATGTTTCACAAATCTGGTCTTTACCGATCCCATCAGCCTCATTAGCTCACTGCCATTCGGCATCTGTTTACGTATGAATGTTCAAGATTTCTTTGTTAAAAGTGGAAAAATAAGAAATGACAGGCTTTGTCCCTTTGCTGTGCTGATCCTGTTTGCGGTCTCGTCTCCTGTAATCTGAGGCAGAGCAGAACAGATCCCGTCTGATGCTGGGAGACAGAATGATTAATCCACACATGTTCAAACACTTTCTCCTGCCGCACCCAGCTGTGCAACACAGTGAGGTTAAAGTGATCCATCACGAAATGTGACCAAACCATGTCATCTCACCTACATTTCTGTCCCTGAATCTTTACCCTCCTTAATATTACTTAGAGATGCCTTTTCTTTCATTAAGGAATACATAAAGAAAACGTGCTCCCATGGCAATGCCGATATGCAAACCCACACCCCGCCACACCTTTCTCCTTTGCTTTAATAACGTAGTTGCGAAATTCCAACACTCTGATGAACCAGATCCGCTGACTCGGTGGATTTTGAATGCATGCCTTTACAAATACTTCCAGCTGGGTGTGTTAACGTGAGAACAGAACATTTTTAACTGTTGGTGCGCGTGTCTGAGTGTGTCAATGCGTACTCTGACCTCTGACATCTGCTTGGCTGTGTTGCCCTTGGCCCCCAGCATCACCATAGCCAGGGCCGAAGAGACACTGAAGGGGGAGTAGAAGACATTTGCTGTCTTGCCGTCATCTCTCAGCTTCTTCAGCAAGGCCAGGGAGAAGGTGATGTTGGCTTTGGACGCCTTAGATGAGGTGGATGTCTCCATCGTGTCTGACACAGAGCAGCGCGTTACTCATCGGGTTGTCAACTGCAGCATATCTTTGATCGGATGCACTTTCCTGTTTCCCCTTGGAAAGCGTAAGTTGCATTCATGTCTTTTCATGTGGATGCTCCACAATAGTGGTGTTTCAGAGGCCCGCTGAAACCATTTTAGGGTTTTTATGGATTTCAATGTCTACAGCCCCTTGGTTCAAATAATTAGCAGGTGTAAAAACGTAAAACTGCTTCTATATACCTTTAAAAACATTTGTATTGGTATTTATTTTACAACTTGGCCGCATCCACCACAACACCCTTCACCAGACACATGTAGACGAAGTCCCATTCTTCCTTTAACATAATCGTTTTACTCACCGATAATGCTGTGCAATGTCTCCACACGCAGTAGAAATCACGCAGATATTGATTTTTACTGCTCAACCACTGATACCTTTAGAAACCAGGTGAAAAGGGCATGAATCAAGAACTGTTACTTAAGCGTTTTTTTTCTTTTGCAATCGCTCAAATCTAAATCAACAGACACCAAGGCACCTCCTGTACTTACACACAGACTCTTCTTCACGGCAAAGAGGGATCAGGAATGTTTCAGTGAAAGGAAGGCGTCTTCTGAACCATCAGAGTTATTTGTCACGGTGAAACACAGACAGGCCACGCCCCTTTGCCCTTTATTGGCCTGCCGCCACTGAATAACACCCATGGGTGGCGTCATCCCAATGGGTGTGCTTTGTAGGAGAGTCTGTAGCTGTGTCTCAAAGTCGCTAGGCTGCATCCTCGTAGCCTGCAGCCTTCACCAGCCTTCGCGGTAGACCTGGGCTGGTCCTTCAACAACCGCATAGCCTGAACGGAGCGGCCTCGAGCGTCTCCACCTTTACTTCTGCTGCTCCCGTTGCCTAGCAACCTGCTGATCTTAACAACAAAAGCCTTAAAACCCCAAAAACATATAAAGTATAAGGAAGATAAACTTCTTCTTATTTCATCTAATTTAGGAGCTTCTCCTCCAGAGCATGATATATTTCAGGCTGAGAGAAGAATATTGTCTAGTTATTTTAAAATAAAATTAAATCAGTTATTGTATAATACTTTACAAATGTATAATTACTTTCAGCTTAAAGGAATGTTGCAATCTTAAGGCAGAGGAGATTCCATCAATGTTGGCAATAAAAACCACAACAGCAAACACATTTATTAACTTGGATGCAAGGACTTTTCTTTTTTTCTTGCATAGGATACAAGCTATTTCAACTGTAAAATATTACAGACTATGTCCACTCTACAGTAGCTTAATGTCAGCACACACACATCGTTCTTCTTCAGCTTGATCTATAAAACACAACTAAATGTAAAGTTAGTTTATAATCACACCACAAAACAAAAGGAGTTAACAAAAGTTCAGTTTTTTTTGTGTTTATTCTGTATCACTGACTTAGAACGTGATATTTCAGATTCATAAGTCTACATGCATGTGCTCACTTTGATCCACGTCTGTTCATAATATGAAGTATAAACTATATATAAAAACGTCACAGAGGCAACCTCTAAAGTGTGGAAGTCATTAAAGTGACTTTTCACTAATAACTACAGGCGAATGCGGGCAGACGAGCTGCCGTTAACAGCTCAGCGGCTCCTGGTAACGTCAGCAGAATGGACCCTGGGGGGGTTTAGGTGAGAGTCTGGGTCACGGGCTGTATGGGCCTAGGGGCAAGAAGGACCCATAACATAACTATCTGAATGCAAACTTTACACACAACATATAAATAACAGAAAAACTAACTCAACTGAAATGTGCAAAATTTTTAGAATGATAAAAATGCAACTAAGCAAAAAAACAAGGAATTGAAGTGGAAAGGAAGAACTTAAGACTTGCTGTGACATCTTGGTCCTATATCCACAGTCCATTAGTGGTGCCTTTTTTTTTGCTTAAAACTGCTGCTTGCGGGCCTTGGCTTCTGCAAAAGCAGCCACAATGTCTTCCATATCTAAGGACCTCCGAACGTCTCTTTTTAATGTTTTTTAATTATTATTTGGACTGGACTGGGTTTCTGCTGCTTCCTCATGCTGAAAGCGTTTTGCTGCCTTTTCTCTGGAAGCTCCATTTCAATTTCCAGTTCTTCTGCAATTTCTACTGCATCAGATTGACCTGAAGCAAGCCCACTGTCCCTGAAGTTTTCCAGCTACTGCCTCACTCCCTGTGTTTCTGTTCTAAGAGTTTCCAGAGAAACATCTGGACTTGGCAGCAGCTTGCTCACAAGCTTAACCTGGTACAAGCCCAGAGAGATATGTTCGCTTCATTTTTTCATCTGTCCTGGGGCCATATCAGCGATATCAGCTATCTGTCAGGGCCCCCTCTTGATCTGGCTCCATTACGTATCAGAATAACTTGTTAAATCACAGTCGGTGAGATTTTGGGATCTTCACCTACCCTGGTGAACACTTTTTTGCTGCTGAATCAAATGCGGAACTTCACACAGGCCACGTGCCTTAGGCTGCAGCGCCCCCACGTGGCCGTCTCCGCGCACTACAACTACCGGTCTGCATTCAAGCGGGCTCACATGAGCAGCACAGGGGAGGAGAACAACAGCAACACAACAATCACACGTCGGACATTGTATGTACAAATAAATGTTTTCCTGAAGGAGACGACTGGTTTCCCGGTAAGCGACCATCGTTGTCATCCTGCGTCACCTCAGCTTAGACGGTCCCGTCCTAGCTTAGCGGCTAACTGAAGGCTAACGCGGTAGCCTTGAATCCAGGTGCCAGGTCCGAAACCATCGAAGGTTTAGCGTTGCCTTGTGTTATTGTCGCAATGCCTTGTTGAAAATAAAAGACAACCTTTTACCAACTAATGTGAATTATTACTGTACATTCGGCGTGCAACTAATATGACAAGCAGCTCTAATTTCGACCAAATAGTAGTTAACCTAACGTAGTTTGGCTCGAGGTGATTGGTAAGCAATTATAACTAGCGAACGATCGATGCAGCTGTTACAGCTGTTTTGATTGGCGGTCACTTCCTATTCAGTATTTAATAACGTACGTTACACAACTTTGGTGAACTGTCATTTAAAGTATTTGCCATTGTTGCCACCAGTCATGCACGAACCAAGAAGAAGCGGGGCGACGTTGCACTCACGAAGGTGACATTAAAATGACGTCATCTATCGCTGCTAGCCGTGCCTTAATAAACGCCAGCTACTTCCCTGACACGTGACCCATGAGCGTAACGCGGGACAGAGCGGGATACTCGCCAGCCCCCATGTCCTTGTCCCCATGTCTCTCGTCCCAGCTCTCTCAACACTTAAGTAGAGTCGAGCAGGAGGACAGCCGAGGGTCTGAGCACACACCTGAACTTCTGTCTCACGTCAAAGCATCGGGTCCCTCGTTCTTCTGTGGGAATACATGTACAAAATGATGATCTGACTCACTTCAACTAGGCCTTCTCCATCATGCATTTTACAAATATTGCACAAATCCTTAAATTATGAATGACATGTGTCTCGTGTCAATAATTAATCTGCCCTTGCAAGCTGGCCCCCTTTCTTAAGGATTATGTTGGTTGACAGATTCAGCGACGGGTGCAGGCTTAAGGAAAATCTGTGGGATCCATTTGTTGCAGCCTGGAGTCTTGTAGGCAATTTTGATGAAAAAGGATTAATTCTCCTCTTTTGTACAGCATTCCTCAGAGTTGGGCTTAGCCGCTCCCGAGAGTGCGCCATACTGCGTCACTTCATCATCTCATCGAGGCGAGGTCGGCTTAAAGAGCCTTGTTGAGTACTGCGCTGGCGGGGCTGGGGGCGAAGCCCAGGAAGATGGCGTCACCCTTTGTGCCTGTCCCCGTGCCTTTGGACAGAGCCTCGTCTGCAGGTAGCGGCAAGTCCAGGAGGCCTCAGCGAGCTTCGTCACTTGGCAGCGTGTCCGGCACCTTGGCCGGGGAGGACCACGGAAGGGGATGCGGAGGGTCGGTATCCCGGCGGCAATCCAGAGGCAGTCGGAGCAGGACGCCGCCCCCCCTCCTCGGCCCCAGGGCGCTGGCCACGGTCAACGGGAGTCTGGGGCCCTCCGTGGAATACTCCGGCTGCCCGCGCTCCATTTCGGATCCTGCTGGGAGCCAGCAGGGCGAGGAGAGGCCCATTACCCCCACAGTGCTGGGGTATGAGGTCATGGAGGAGAGGGCCAAGTTCACGGTATGAAAGCAGGAAAAAAAAAAAGTAGGCTTGTTGTGAACATCTATATTACACTTGAAATGTAGATGGAAATGAGTCAGATATTCTCACTACAAACAAACACACTGCATGGCGAAAACCAGAGATTAAAGGTCAAATGTCGAAAATGATTTGCACAGAAAATCGTTAGTTAAATGAAAATAATTTACAAGTGCTTGGCAAAAGGAAGCCACTACTATTGTAATTTTGCAGTGGTGAATGTGTCTTCAAGATCCTGATTGTTGTCTGATCTCTGCTGCAGGTATTCAAGGTCCTGGTCAAGAAGACTCCAGATGAGAGCTGGGTGGTTTTTAGAAGGTACACAGACTTCTCCAGACTCAACGACAAGGTGCGTTTGGTTGTGCTGGGATGTGTACATTTTTTTTGGACACTTTTGTATGCAAAGTAAGGCCAGTCCAATATATTGGATCTATCTGGAGCTTTATTAAGTGATCATCTGCTTGTGGGCGATGTTTTTAAACCATCAAATAATTGCTTTCAGCATGCTTTCTTTTGTTTTGAGTGAAGTGTGGAAGTGATTAAATCGTCACAAAGAACCCTTTTGTTCCTAAAAGCTGGAAAAGCCTGAGCCAACTAGGGAACTGGTCTCTCGTGGTTTCGGGATGGATCGTTTTGTCACAGCTTACAAAAAGGGGGCCCAGCAGAATGGGATGAGATGCCATGTGATAATACTGTAGGGTAAAAAAATTAGCCAACAACGGGGAGAAAAGGATGACACTAAATGTCTACGACAAGCAAGCAAAACATATTTATAGGCTTATAAAATAACAGAAATGCAGTGTTTCAATAAAGCCCAGCAAGGAGAGTGGAAACACAGGAAGGGGGAGCCCCGTCGGTGGTGGGCATTGACGTCCATCTCTACCATTCATGTGGTAAAAGCAGCTGTGGCGTCCGAGATGAACGGTCCACGCAGCGCGCTCGCTGAGGCCTCGTCTTCTATGTAACTATCTGTTTACGGGTTCATTCAACGTGTGTGTGTGTGTGTGTGTGTCTTCTAGCTGAAGGAGATGTTCCCGGGCTTCCGCCTCTCGCTTCCTCCCAAGCGGTGGTTCAAAGACAACTACGACAGTGACTTCCTGGAAGACAGACAGTTGGGGCTAAAGGCGTTTTTGCAAAACCTGGTGGCACACAAGGACATCGCCAACTGGTATGTGACACGATGATGCTCAGAGTCTTTTAGTTAAGATGGAATTATTTAACCTTTTTTTTGTAAACAAACAATTGATGATCCCGTATTACTGAGCACACTGGTCTATTCATTAACAATGACACACACTCATTCATGTCACCTCATTGGTTCCTCTTGACAGTGTGGCAGTGAGAGAGTTCCTGTGTCTGGACGACCCCCCAGGGCCTTTTGATAGTCTGGAGGAGAGCAGAGTAAGTGTGCATACACATGTGTGTCTATGCTGCCCTCGTGTCCTTTTCTTGAAGAGGTGCTTTTCTTTTCATAAATCTTTTCATGTCCCGCCGTATTTATCTCTGCTGTCTGCGGTGTTTTCATTGTGTGAGCTATTAGCACTGACATATCACCATTTTCTTCATCCCTCTGTCACTGACATAGATTTCTTTTCCTTTTGAGTGTCTTTAAAGTTGCATTAAATACCAAACGTTCTTTAGCTTTCACATAAAAAATGTAAAGTCTGTGCCGAACTTCAGGTTCGTTTGGAGATTGAATTTAAGCTATTCAAATGATACTGATACCTACATTTTCCAGGGATATCAAATTACGTGACTTGACATCAACCCGACACCAGGCAACACTTTCATTTTAGATTTAAAGTGGCTTTACACGAAAGTAGACGCTGCCTTGTTGAGGTGAAGATGCATGCAGAAAGGTTATTCCCGTCTCTTCCATTGCTTTCAGTTCTTTTTTTTTTTTTACCTCTGTCCAGGCGTTCTGTGAGACTCTGGAGGAGAGCAACTATCGCCTCCAAAAGGAGCTGCTCGAGAAGCAGAAGGAGATCGCCTCCCTGAAAAGGAGGTTGCAGGAGCGGGAGAAGGCCATTCTGCTTCTGGAGAAGCATATCAAGTCAGTAGACGTAGTAGACACACGTACAACGCAAGAAATGGGAATCCGGGTCGGAAAAAAATCCAATGCACCAAAAAAAAATGAGTTGTACAAACAACCACGTGCTGCTTCTTAGGCAGAGCGAGGGATTAATTGAGGTTTTAAGATGGCATTGTATGAACAAAGTCTAATTAAAACCTGTCTCTGTCCGTCCCAGCGGCGAGTGTGTGAGCCCCGAGGCTCTGCGTGCCCTGTCCGCTCCGGGCAGCGACAGCAGTGCGGATGTGGAGTCGTCCGCTGCGGAGGCGGATCAGGATGTGCTGGACGACACTGGGTAATGGACAAACGCCACACGCAGCAGTGAATGTGATTCATGAGGGCAGCACCAGACCAAACACATCTCACACAGCTTCATTCATGTTCTCCTTACATGACTGGCTGGTTTCAAGTGTGCTCTGCTCCATTTGACACGCACACAATGACCACAGTGATTATGATGATCGATGTGTGAGTCACTTTCTGGTGAATTCTACTCTTGCACTGGAGATTCTTGGCGTTATGACCACTGCTAATGGACCTCTGGGAAGTAAAGGGATCATGCCATGGCAACCACAAGAAGCACTTGAGGTCAGACAGATGGTGGATGCATTGAATTTCTACCAACAGAGCAACATGGTAAATGGAAGCAGAGGGGAAAGCTGGAGGCTTCTTACTTAAAATTAAGTAAATAATTTGTGAACCAACAGGTGGAACCCACCTTGGTTAAATAATACCACGGCACATTGACAACCATAGTGAGCTTGATAGGCTGCTTAAGCCGTGTGAACTTTTGTTGTCTCAGTCTCTGCTACAGAATCAAATTACAGGACGAAATAGACACAAGGAGGCAGATGTATTCTGCACCAACGTGTGCTGAAGAAGAAATAATGGAGATAATACAAGCAAATAGTACAAATAAAACTCCTGATAAAAACTGTAGGCTTAGATACATGTAAACAGAGGACAGGATTAGATACAAGTCCCGTTATAAGTATAATTGGTAAGCCTTCTAACTTGTTGAAGTACTAGATCAAAAAATGATGTGATCTGAGAATACTGCTGTTAAACAGTCAAATCTACCCGTTAAAAGTTCCACCTCGTCCTAAAATGATTACCCTAATCACAGTTCTTTGGATTCATTACATATTATAAACCTTTTTTTTTGCAACGCATTGATTTATTAGTCCTTAAGTAATCCCAATTACTACAGACACAGAGATCCATTGTAATGCACTATAAAGGTTACTTTGTACTTTTATTGCCCATTAACAGCTTATCTATCTTTATCCCCTCACGATTGGCTGGATCTTGGGTTGAGTTATATAATTGGCTTTTAGTGTCATAAAATGCATAATCCAAAGTGTCCGTTAATTAATTTCAGGCCCAAATGACAGCCCAACTGTTGCATGTGGCTGGATAGACACAGCAGGCTCCGATCGGTGCCTTTTTAAAATAAATGATTAATTGGCATATACATCTGCAAAGTTGCCATTGATTTAAAAGTGTAATTATGATGAGGTTTGAACATTGAAGTAAAGTGAAGTGTTAGATTTTCTCCCCCCCCCCCCGTTTTTGAAACGATTATCCTGAACACATGCTCCCAACTATGGCCTGTATGTAACGCACGGCAGGTTCTGTGACGTGTAAACCTTTTGTCTGCCACACTGCTTCCCTCGTATTTAACAAACACATGCTGTTTGCCCTTCTTTCACACGGTGATGGATGCTCACTATGAGGCACTGGAAGGCGCTGGATTTCCAGTGTTGATCCTTTCTCTCCTCATCTGGTGTCATGACGTGAGTGTTAATCCCTTTTATTGAAGGCAGAACGAGTCGGGTATAAACTCACCCAGACACAATCCCTCTTAATCACTTACAAGTGGGCCAGGTCGTCTGTGACGAGAACAGGCACAATATCTGGATCTTCTCATCTAGCGTGTTTTGGGATGCTAGGAGCTGTTGAAATGGTGGTATGGCGAAACAGAATGCAGATAGAACTCGTTCCAAAACGAGGGTGGATCTGGGGTTGGCTTCTATCCGCTCGTCCACAAACCGCACCCGCCAAATCCTTCTCCTCTTGCCTTTTGAATCAGCCCGTGTAAAACAGATGAGCGTCAGAAAGCTTCAAAGTGATCTATCGAACTAAATCTTTGATGTCTGGTGGTGTTGGATGCAACAAATGGCTGCTGGTGAATGTGTGGAGTTGTGTACATCTCCCATGCGGTGCAAAGGGGGGGGTCCCGGGTGAAACCGGTCTCCCTGCTGTGTTTTCAGTGGCGGTGGAACCGGCTGTTGTCGTGGGATTAATAACACGTCCCCAATGTGTTTGTCTCGTACATGGCGGCTTCTAAGTGAGGCCGTGTTTGCGTCTCTCCTCTGCTGTACGCGTCGTCTCCTTCTCTCTCTGTCTGGCTTCATGTTGTGCGAGGTGTACTTGCCTCACCTCGCATTGCATGGTGAATAGGTCAATTGCTGAATGTGTTTTCCCTCTGCTGTGACCTTGCAATCCCTAGAGGCCGGTGTGAGGTCCAACCGGATGGACCCTCTGCCTGCTGGTGTGGCCCGCCGCTCAGCACTTCTCCTCCGGTCATTGAGGTGGCTCCGCCTTACCACCAGAAGCTGGGACAAAACCAATAAACACTGGTCGCCCTCTTCTCCCTTTCCTGCCATATCCCCCCTCCCTCTATGCCCCTAATGTTTAAGTGCTATTTTATAGCTTCTGTTTGTTTTTCAGGCCTCTCGTTTACCTATTGTTCCTTCGGCCCACCTAAACTCGCAATTTCCTCTTCCACTTGACACATTATTCCTGCTGTTTCTCCTTTTGGTCTTGATGGATGGATCTGAAGCAGCATTTATCTGAAGATGAGTGTACGTGTTAAAAGGGAACCATCTCCTACATCACAACAACTTTAGGACTTCCTGAGGGCTTCAAACAACACGTGGAAGATATGAACTAATATCTTGCTTTACATGGCTGCATGTATTCAAACCTCAGGCTCATAAGCTGCCCGTTTACTTTTGAACCCCATGTAGCGGCTGCCAGTCTGAATCGACTTGATCCTCCGGTCGCAAAGCCAACGTTTGGCTTTTTGACCAAACAAAACAAGATAACTTAAAGACATTCACAGACGTGACAATCTTCACAAAACCTGAACCATCGTCTCACCGGAGTATTACGGATCATCACGAGAGGCCCAAAACAGCACCCCAAGTGACAAAAGAAACAAGAAAACCCAACCTGTGTGGAAGTGTCAGGATGTACGTGCACCAGGTGGGTGTCGCAAAGGATTCGTGACCTCATGTCACTTCCAACTCACATCGACTCACATTAAGGCTACAGACAGACCTTTAGACACTTTGCTGGGTTTTCACTTTCAGTCAGCGTCTAAAAGCCTCGACTCGCCCTTGTTCCAGTGCCGCGGAAGAGTTGTGGTAAACTAGAGTCCTGTGAGAGACTGTACATGAAAAGAGGAAGTCATGGAAATGTGGTCTGTTCTTGCTTTTAGAACAATGTGCTGTACTCTAAAATGTCATTCCTCTGACACAAGCATCCATTTGGGACAGTTTAAGGCGCTGCTTTATCCTTAAGTCCATGAATATTTACAACACTAAACCTCTTCTGTTAATAGTAGACTGAGCCTGGTCGGTTTCCTCAAGGACAACCTGGATGTCATAACGTCATCGAGGGATTAGTTCACCCATCAAGCATCAATGGTACTTCTCCCTGCTAGCGTGTGGCCACGCACATAGTTTTGGTCATATCTGCTTAAGATTTTAAAAATTATATTTCTATAAGTTCCACTTTAAAGTTTACTACAAAGTTTAAGCCGAAAGCTGAGCCGGCTCCATGTTGAGAGCCGCTTTGGAGGCAAACGCAAGTTCCGTTGGCGTCTTCTGAAACGCCGGCCGCTATCGCGATGCAATTCCGGTCGATTGAATTTGTTTTCCGTGCTTAAACTACTGGGGGATCAAACTCCACAGATTATCCACTGACACGACAGTTATTAGTGTAACCACCATCTACCAGAGCATAATCCCTCTTGATCGGGGGCCGTGACCTCACATGCACATTAGAACCAAAACCATCAACATGCAATGCTAGATTCCTGTAAGCGTAGGAACATTTTGTAACCTTTTACATCTTGGGTTGATAATCACAAGAAGAGTATGCGTGACTGTAATGCTAATCCTGGTCGGCTGGTTGACTGCCGCGTAATGTGCGTGTCAGGTGGTGGATTTTGGCTCTTTTTATAGCGGTTCGGACGGGTGTGGGTAAAAGAAAAGGGCGACCCGGGCATCACTACCAGCCGGAGTGGTACCCGGCCTACACGTCGCGCCCAAAAGCCATATCTTATCCACTGTGTTTTCACTCATTGATGACAAGTTGATGAGGCGCGTAACAAACACAGCTCCATTGAATCGTCTCAAACTCGACCTGGCAGAAGGTCGTGTGATGCACTTTATGGACGAATGGCAACCCATGATGCTTGCTAAGATACGCTTGTTACTGCTTGTGTGAGACAGAAACGTGCCTTTTCACCTGCTGGATCTGTCTTGATTCCCAACTAGATCTAATGTGTCAATACGAGATAAATCTATACAAGTTTTGTTAATGTTTTGTTTTTCTGTAAATTCCCGTCACGTATAAGTGCCTTGATCAACTTTTCTCCAAATATGTTTAAATAGCTTTATAGGTTTGTTCACAACATGAGATGATTTAACTTTGTTGTTCCCATGAATGACCCTCATGTGTTGGTTATTGCTTGGAAAAGACTGAATCGACTTGTTTTTTGTCATGTTTCATGATTTTATATGCAGTCTTAGTTACATATACGCATCATAGTAGCACTACAAAAGACTGAAGTGAATAGCATTCTGTGTCACTATTAATGTCCTGGATTTAAAGGGGGTCTTTCACTGAGAAGTCTGGCCTGAAATGGAAACAGTGGACACTATAAAATGTTATAGGAAAGATGTTTATTAGAAGAAATATATAATTCACCCACAATGAAACACAGGACGATCTCTTGAATACACATGTATGTTTTTTTCGTACTTAGTCTGCTTCCATGAAATTGGTTTGGTAGTTTGTGCTTGGGTGAAATAAACTGTCAGGTGTGATAAATGATGAGAAGATGTGGGCTTCTAGTTACTGCCAGGCCCATTTTAAAAGGTGATGCTTTCAAAAATGTAATAAATTCTTGTCACGGAAGTTTCATCTTTTTTTAACTATCTTTTTAATATCTATCAAATGAAAAATAGAGGCATTGTAGGGTTTTTGACATGTTTATGTGAATTGTATTTGTACAATTGCAACAACGGGAGCAATAAAAAATGGTACGTATGGCTCGGGAAAATGATCTCCAGTTAAAATACAAAAGAACTGTCGACTCACATCATAAACGCTCTGTACTTTGCCGTAAGCTCGTAGACCTTTCACCAAAACCTGCTGATAGACAGAGCACAACTACAGTAACAATAACTCACTTTGCACTAAATTTAGCTTATTACAAATCACTTTTGACTGCACCGCAGAATGAATGATTTACAGCTAAGTCTTAGCTATGAGTTTTACTTTCATATTATGAAATGGATAAGATCAATGAAGTAATGAGTTATTTTTGAGTCGTTTACATTATTAACCAACAGTAGGCAACCGGCTTCATTAGCTGGTGATGTAAAAACAAAACCCGTTAGCTTTTAGGGCTGATTTTCCACACAGGCTGTTTAGCATCCGTTAGATTAAAAAAGTTACAATTTTTTTTTTGCTCAAAATATCCTTTAAAATATCCACAGAAGTGTTTAATACCAATACGCTGCATTGCTGTAGCCAACGTCTTTAGGCCCCTTCTGTACGCTGCCTGTCAGAGTCGGACTTATGATAACGACCAAAAATACTGCTTCCGCCTCCGTCAACAAGTCATTGTTCGGATGTGGCCCACCCAAGTAATTGACTGCACCCTTCCCTTAATGATTTTAGAAATGAATGCCTCACACATTTCAGCCTGTAGCCTGTTATTTTCATGTTACTGAGTTGGCATCAACCCAGCCAGCTGTATAGCTACTGTAAGTGTTATGGTGTAATAATCTTATAAATTCATTGAAGCTGAATGTTTTATTTACATTTCATAAAATCTTGACTGGCATACTTTCCAAAATGAAAGCGTTATGTTTTATATGCCACTTAAACTCAGACCACTACAAAAAAGATATGCTAAACGTTTATGTAAAGAGTAACATGAAAAAATCAGTACCACAGAAACCCCCCTGCTGGGACTGCATCTTCACCTGTGTACAGAATTGTTTACAACCAATTCCACAAGCATGTCATCACTTAAGGAACAAACATTCCTGGCAACAACAAAGCTCTGCCTCCACTTTGGATATTTAAAGCATATTTCTCTGCTTCTCATTCCAACTTTCCACTATAAAAATGTCAAATCATCCCAAAAATATTTTTACTTGACAAATTATTACCCAGCTGCTCCACATTCGGTAAACTGCCCCACGTTCCGAGATGCACAAGTGTACATACGCGATGAATCATCAGTGACATCATTCGTCAGCAAAGACGAGGCATGATCCTGAATGTCAAAGGCCACCAACGCAGGAAGTTTAGTGAGGCCACTTTGCTCAATGAGCATCACAACTTTTATATCGGCTTTGAGACTTGCAACGGTCAGAACCCACAGTGGATGTGAGAGCAGCTCCGCAAGTGGAAATGAGTAAAGGCTGGTAAGGTCCCTGGCCACACACATGCGCCAATCAGCAGGCCGAAGTGTCACCTTTTTGTTGTATTTGTGCTTGAAAGTCATTAGAAAGAGCTTCTGATTTAACTTCAATGGGTCCTCAATGGATTCTTTTGTTTGATATTAATAACATAATGACACATGCAATCATTTCACTATACGCAAATCAATAATACTTTGACAATGCAGGGCTCAATAATTGTGATTTTTGATGATTTTCATTTTTTTATTTCCCTGAAAAGTAAACCCGCAAAAGTGAGTTGAGCTGTTCTCAAAGGAGGAGGTCAGCATGGTCTGGGTGCTGAAGCATGAACCCCACAATGAGCCCGTCACCTCTCATAAAGGTCTGATAAATAAAACGAAAGATAACCTCTTGCTTCTAAAAAAATACTTTCTCTAGAACTATTTCTCTACATTCTTCTCTTTCTTTATTCATCATTGTTGTTGTTGTTGATATTATTACAGAATTATAGAGCATTTGTATAAATGACATTCCTCATACTGTAGTGAACAGGGCCTCACCCTGCTGGTGCTGCACCTCGTTTGTATGGTTTGGTGGTTTTAGTTTGGAGAGAATCGGTTGACTGGCAGCAAGTCGGCAGCAGTGACTTTAGCCAGATGAACTCCTTCTGAAATGAAGAGGACGAAGTTACATACTGACTGGGTCTTTAACTATTTGGCTTGGATGTTATCCTTGCTCCCTTCGTGGATATAATAAATATAAACTAGTGATCTTATCATTTTGATTTTGAGGCAGATTTATTTCACTATTGTTCAGAGACCTTTCCTTCCTGCATCCCTTAGGCCACTGACACATCTCTGTCCCAGAGAGCGTTCCCACCTGCCGCCATTGTTGTAGTATCTAAAAAGTCTGCTGTGTTTTATCTAAATAAATACCCTTTTCTGAAAACGTGTTTTGTGGAGCTCGGTTCTGCAGCACATCAGCCCTTTTTGCAGTTTGAGCTTGCGTTTGAACTTTGGGTGCATATTAACTTGTTGAGTTGTTTACCGGCTTGGAACAAATATTAATCAAGTGACTACGGAGGATATCAGTTTTATTATCCTACCGTGTCCAAGGATATTATCAGTAACCACAACTTCTCAGAGTTCCCCCCCAAGGCTACAACCCTCCTGACATTTGATGCCAATCAGCCTTGTAAGTCCAGCGCCGTTGTGTGTAATCGGAAAAGAGATGTTTGAACCGAGCAGTGACGTTTGACAGTGTTCATCATAAGACCGGCCTTTGGCACTGAATTGTTTCCAAAAACACTTGGAAGCCGGTTGCCACTGGTTGTGATTTTGGTCATCAGCAGGGATTCCCGGCACTTGTCACACAGTGAGATGAATGCATTAGCAAAAAAGACTTTAGATTTCAGATCTCAGATCTTATGACAGTCTTGGATATCTCCATAGTAATTTGGGGTGCACGGCTCTGGGGAAGATTCTGTTCAGGGAAATTGAGTCCAATAAAAATACAAATAAATTACCTGACACGCACATTACGCGGCAGTCAAATAAATATATATATATATAAAACTTATATATACAAGGAATAAAACAAACTGAACACACCAAATTAAACAAAATAAAATAAGAGTTAAACTTAAACCTGAGGAATGAGAATAACAAACATATTGATCTAAGTACTGCTTGGACATTTGATGAGATCTAAAAGCTCTGCAAACCTGTTCCTGGTCAGAATAGAATAGCAGCTTTAATGTCCCAGAGGTCTTTGCATGTATTAGATGCAGCAGCTCTTAGCTAAACGTGCAAGCTTTTGTGAACCTGTTGACAGCGCCAGTGGTGTCGGTGGGGATGGAGTTACCAGCTCGAACCGTCATATGAGAACAGCGCACAGTGGCATCCTTGACCCAGCCAGTGGGGCATGCTTACCTTCACAAATATGCCCTGAAAGCATTAATAGTTGGTCTGGCTATGATCGAGCAAAGAGAAGCTCAAATAACGACACACAGAGTACGAATGATTCCACTCTGTTCTTGGGTAGACATTACCCGACTACCTGTCAAAATATACCACTCAAATGTAGATTTTTGTGACCTCTTGTTTCCAAAGCATTTAATAGTGTTGTATAATCCCTACAGATGGAGATTGTGCGTTTATCAGTCAGCTACAACGATGAGTGCAAACTATGCTTTACACCTCTTGCTTTCTCTCACCATAGCACTCTGTTAGTCATCACTTCCCACAATGCACCTGTGCGACAGATAGTTGCACAAAGACTGTTTCGTTGACATTACAAAGTGCAATATCTTCAAGGATGCTTGACTTATTTTAAATTAAACCGCCAGTTGTATTTTCAAATCAGTTATTTTACAAACAAGAAGCCACTTTTGTGATCTGAAGGAGCTGCAGCTGTCTACTCTTTTACACTTTTATATAAAAGATTGCACTATTTTTCCTGAAATCCGTCTAATAGAGAAAACATCCCATATTTCTCTTGACTTGAGAATTTTGCCACTGAACTTTTTAAACGTAATTCCTGTGATGAGTAGTGATGACCTCTCAGAATAAAACGTTCCTCGATTTTAAAGAGTAAAGACGAGTGGTATTAACAATTTATTTTTTATTTTTTAAATGAATCACCAAAGTGGTCAGACGATGAACACTTATTCTCCCTCCTCACAGCTTCTCTTAGAGAGGAGCCTTACTTTGTAAAATTATGTGATTATGGGAACTTGATTCTTTCAAAGTCACAAGAAATAAATATCCTGTTATCATTTCTGATCATGCTTTAACGTGATGAAGATCACTGGTCTTAAACCGTGCACAAGATGGTGCTTCAAACCATCGTGACTTGAAAATTCTTACTTCAATACATGCTTGAAGGAGTGCTCACCCGTCCTGCAACTACAGTGCACGACTGTGCAAAAACCTCACTGTGGGGAAAAAGCAGCGATGACAGGGAAAAGAATGTACACCCACCGAAAAGCCACTCAATTTTATGAAGACCTCAGTGCTATTTCCCTCTTAACACTAAATATAATAACGCACACAATACCAGGAGAGAAGGAGAAGTTAACGATGGTTCCTGCCAATCAGATAATCTACACAGAGACTCTACGGGGGAATCCATTCAGCAGAATGTAGCATTTGGACAACAAAATGACAAGCTGTCATTAAGATGTCAACAGAAATTGCAGCACACATGAATTTGGCAGCCATTAGGTTGTGGAGTGAAGTGGGGAGATTTTCTCACAGACTAATGGATTGTTTTTGGGTCACTATGCAAGTTCAAGCCACTTCTGCTTTGGTTTCACTTCTCCATCACAGAAGTCGACGCCTGGCCTCCGTCTATATTTACTGATTAACAGAGGCATCAAAATTATCAGTAAATACTAATCCATAAAATGTGAAGAGGTCCCCCATATCTTTATTCACCCGGACCTGGTTTTATAAAAGATAGATACACCCTAAAATAACATGTGTCATAAATGTATTCACAAGTAAAAAGACAAAGACATCTAGTTTGGGTTTCTCAAACAAGCCAAGATGACAACGGGCAAAATACCAAACTCAAGGCTTCATGTCTTTATGCTTGAAGGACCAGATGTGAGCGGCAGTTGTCTCTAAGCTCTAA